TAATATGCCATATTTACTTATATATATATTTACTTATATATATATTTACTTATATATATATATATAAATAAAAGGCATATTAGGGCTGCAATAACGAATTGATAAAATCGATAAAAATCGATGATTAAAGGTGTTGGCAACGAATTTCACTATTGATTCGTTGTGTCGCGTGATTATGCATTTTTCACGGCCATGCGGAGCCGTTTTGTTCAGCTGCAGTTCATTGTCAATGCTGGTTGACTGAATAAAGTATAAAAAAAACCCTCTGCAGTGTGAGTTGAACAGAGCGAGGGGGGAGGAGGAAGCAAAGCAGAGGCTGTTTTCAAAGGAAATTAAGTAAATTTTACAAATGACCAACGCAGAGAAAACTGTTCGACCTGAGTCCTACAAAGTGTGGGAGAACGTCACAAAGATAAAAACTGTGAAACACGCTGCTTTGAAAAAGTGACGACACGACAGGGGAGAACCACGCTGATAAACGTAAACTGTTGGAGTCACGAGGAGGAAGGAGCAGCAGCTGATACAACTCGTCATGTGTTGCAGGTGAGTCTCTACAATTTAACACATTGTTCTGTTTCCAAGAGAGAAAACGTAACGTCAGTCTCTCTGGTAGATGAAGCTGTTTGTTTGTTTGTTTGTTTGTTTGTTTATCTGATTAATGGCAGTGATAGAAAACGTGTGTTACTTTTTATTTATTTTAATTGGTACAAGCAGTGTTTAAATGTGATTTATAAATACATCTAGTACAAATATAATAATTTAATGATTAAGCTTCAACTTTTAATTTGCTGGCAAAGTCTGAAGACACTGCAGGTATGGCAGGATGAATTGCATTTAAACAGGAATTGAAGTAATTTATTACATCTACTCAAATGTGTGTAATTAAGTATTTTATATGTGTGTGTGTGTGTGTGTGTGTTTAATTGCTCTTTTAGCTACTTTTGCCTGAACCTAACACTGTAAGTGAAACAAGGCATTTCTTGAGTTGCTATAAATTATGATATAATACATATTTACTCTCTCATTCCAGAAAACAACAACAAACAACATCCTTCATGATGGACAGACATCATGGACACCACAGCAGCAGCTGTCTTCACTGAAGTCATCCTTAAATGATCGTCACTGACATGAGGCCTCTGTCGATGGTTGAAGACGAAGGCTTCACTACAATGATCCACACTTTTAATCCAGGTTACAATAATCCACACTTTTAATCCACTCTTCCCCCAGGGACACATTTTACAAAGTAGTTACATATTGTGCAGGTATAAATTTGTATATATTTTTGTGTACATTAATTTTTTTTAAGCTATTTGACTAACTTTTATTTTTTATTATTCAATATTTTACTAACAGAACAGTCAAGTAGCAACCTGTTTTTTGTGTGAATTGCTGTGTCAGTCAAATGTTCAGTTTTGTAATAAAGGGGTGGAAATTAAAACAAATTGTTTTTTTGTTTGTCAATTCATTGATTAATTGAAAAAAATCAATCAACAGATTAATCGACTATTGAAATAATTGTTAGTTGCTGCCCTAATATATATACACTGTATATATATATATATATATATATATATATACACTGTATATATATATAAATTCCGATACTTCACTTCACCACTAATATCGTCCGATACCATGCTGATAATATTATGCATCCCTAGTTTAGATGTTTGAATCTCTTTAAACTTCAGAAATAATCCAGTTGCTACATGCTACATGCTACATGCTACACGCAGTGGTCTTAGACTCAGCTGTTCAAACAACACCACTGTGGAGCTGCTCTTGCTTTCTCAGCTGTTTCCCGAAGTCTTAGCTGTCCTTCGTCTTCTTTGTACTGACAAATGTTTTGTGCCTTGTGCTACGTCTTTTTTTCACTCAGGAAGGCGACCCCGCTTCACTGTCCATGACCTGCTGTGTAGATATTCTTGAGAGGCTCCCTCATGCGCTCGTCACGGTCTATTATCAGCAGCACATTACGAGATGATATTACTACATACACACACAATCACGTCACGCCCTGAACCCAGATCTGACCTGACTTTTTTGAGCCGTGCCAGGATGCAGCTACTTTCTAAAAGATCACTCCATGATGTTACTACGAGGGTATCATGTATGCTGTAGGTTGTCTCCATGACCTTGTCAGTGTCTGCATAATTCTCCTATATATAGAGTATGTGAGGTTTGTGGACTTCCACCATCTGTTTCAGCCTTGCTGTGGAGTGAACACTGTTAACAGGGTGCAGGTGAAAAGATGGATTTCTGTGCAGAACCTCCACCACATCCACCCTTCTTCCTTCCTCATCCAGTTGGGCTGACCATCATAAAACATGTGCTTCTTGCTTTGTGTCCAGAAGGTGACTGGAGGAAGGTTGTTGTATTTACTGGTACCTGGAGAGCACGGACTGATTGTAACCCCCATGTGATGAGGGCGTAAAACCACAAATCTACTGGCTGTAGTGAGGGCGGCAGCAGAACGTGATGCACTCTTGCTGTAGCACCAAGAGTGTTGCAGAAACTTCCTTGGAGTGCTGCCAGCATGGTATCAGCGTGATAAGGTCGTAGCCTAAACATCAGGCCAGTGTTCCCAGTCCTGCTTCAAGCAACTGAGCCACATGCAGACCCTACATTGATATGTTGCCATGAAACTAATAAACATTAGACTGTGTGCATGTTTGTTCATCTAACCCTGCATTAAGTTCAGTCAGGGTCAGTGAGAGTCTCCTTGTGCTTGTTCTGAGTCATGGGTTGTTGTCCCAGATGTCATTTTGTAAACACTAACAAACTGTACAAAAGGTCAACCTTGGCTTTTGGTTCCTGTTTGTGTTAAAAATAATTATTAGACAAAGAGGAAGACAGGAATCTAAGGCTAAATTGAATCTGTGGGGTGTTGGCTTTGCATTTCCATTAAATGGTTTTCTACTGCACATCTCCTTGCATCTGTTTTTTGTTTTGCTTCACCTTCCCTTCCCATTGGCCCTAAAACAGGAGTCTTCCTCCCTCCCTCTGTTCTGTCCTGTTAGCCTGCAGCTGTGATTATCTTGGGATGCTCCGACGTATAAAAGCAAACATCTTCTGTGTTGCTCTGACAGATCATTCAGTTATTAAACTGTGCAGGAACCTGAGTTCTGATCCGGGTCCGAGCAGCTCTCAGCTCATGCCACACAACTGGAGTTCTGTTGTGAGACAAGAGTTTCATTAATTTTTGTAGTTTTTAACAATGTTACACTAAATACAAACTAAAAACACAACAGCAGGAGACTGAAAAAAGACGTAACGCAGCAGATACAGCTGGAGTACAAGCCCATATTTTATGCACGGTGATGTTCCTCTCTAGGTTTCTGCTGTAGTTTCTAAACATTGCTTGTGTTTGTCACATCTGTTCAGTGTTGCTGAGGTTGAGATTTTGAGTGAGTTCTCTCAGCAGGAATGCAGATAATCGGGCAGAAGATATTTGGGGTTTGTCTTTGTCTCTGGTTTGGTTGACTTGGCAGCCAGTGAACTTGTTTTTCTCTCCTGCATCATCACCCCCACCGTCACACTGACACACACATTACAAACTGAACCTTACACTGCAAATACAGGGAGCTCAAGGTGACGGAATGACTAGAGCCTTACACTTCAGTTACACAAACAAAAGGTTTTAGGCAAGCTGCTGGATCAAGTACATCCTGAGTGTCAGAACATGCTGTACAGTGGTTGAAAAATGATTTGCCCAACAGATTTTAGAGTGGAAACAAAAGGCATCTCTTCAAGCTTCCTCTGTGGAGCTAAATGTGTTGTCTGGGGGATCAGAGCACTTTTATGGTCAGTCTTGATTAGAAGTATTTCAGTTTTATGCTAATGATACTGTGATATACTTTGTTCCATCCACATCTTATCAGAAGCTTTATTAGCTCCAACAATGTTTTTTATGCTTTTCAGTTCACCTTTTCAAACTAGTTTGAAGCTCTTAAAAGCACAGCTCAAGATTAAAACCTTTGAATATTTGATCTGGCACTATTCTTAATAGTTTTGCGATTGAGTTCATGTCTAAATACAAGTACTTAGTGCTGATTAATGTTTTCTCACCTTCAGGTAACAATCCAATTGAATTCAGTTTATTTATATAGCGCCAAGTCACAAAAGAAGTCATCTCAGGACACTGAACAGAAACATTCACATTTAAAAATAATAATTTAACATTTTTTATCTGAGGAGCAGACTGCTTTGAGTTTAACTCCATCACAGACTCTCATCTTGAGCAAGCATGAAGGCGACAATGGAAAAGAAAAAACTCCATCATGAGTTAGTGGGAGAGATCATACCTCTCCAGTTTTAGCTTCTCTCCATTGGCTCCCTGTCAAATCCAGACTATAACTCAAAATCTTACTTCTAACCTACAAAGCTCTCAACAACCTAGCTCCATCTTATATTACAGATCTTATTGTTCCATATTTTCCTAACAGAGCACTTCGTTCTCAGACTGCAGGTTTACTCGTGGTCCCTAGAGTTTCCAAGAGCAGAATGGGAGGAAGATCTTTCAGTTATCAGGCTCCTCTCTTGTGGAACCAACTTCCAGTTTCTGTCTGTGAGACTGACACATTGTCCAGTTTTAAGACTGGGATTAAGACTTTCTTTTTTGATTAATCCTATAGTTAAGACTCTGGCAGCAGCATTTTGGATTAACTGAAGACTTTTTACAGAAGTATTTGGACACCCAGATAACAAACCATTGCGATAGTCCAGTCTAGACGTGACAAACGCATGGACCAGTTTTTCTGCATCAGTTTTAGATAAGATGTTTCTAATTTTAGTGATATTACGCAGTTCTAGTAATGTATCACATCCAGCAGCTGTCAATCAGGTTTTTAATTTCAAGGGTCTTTCCTGGTTAAGTAAATGTTCACAAAATAAAATAAAACCCCGTTTTCCTTTGTAAAGTTGCAGTCAGTGTATCAAAAGCCTTAGAACCAATGACAGAAAAATATTTGCCATGAAATACATTATAAACGGAAGCAGAGCTGCTGAAACACTTTTCTAGAAACCCTTTTGAGTTTTTAGCTTTGTTTTCAACTCTTTGTATTTTGTCTTTGTATTTGACAGAGAGGATTTACCAAGCAGAACTTCATAGATCCCAACTTTTAATCAAGAGGAAGCGTCAACGTTCAAGCTGCCGGGTGAGAGGAGGAGCCTGCAACTATGGGATGTGTTGGACGGACGATCCACAGAGGAAGATTCATGAAATGAAACCACTGAAACAGAAGATTCCCTTCTTTGTGGTGGTCGGGTGAGGGGTGGGGGGTTAACTTGTCTTAGACAGGAGCTGTAATGTTTCTTATGGTTTCACTGGTATGTTCAGTGTGTGGTTTTATGGTTGTTTTTTTTTGACACTGACATCTGGATTCTCACTAACAAACAGTGAAGCTGTGTGAACAGTGATGCGTTCAATTACCACTGTGTTTATCAAAGTGCCTCTAACATTTGTGTAATGTTGTACATATTTAAACCATGACTTTGTGTTTATCTCAGCCTGATAAATACTTATGAAGGAGTTGTTTGTGCTAACAGCAAACAGCTATAATTACAAAGCTGCTTGATAGCGCGGTTTCATAATTTCTTTGATATTTCACCAGATGGATTGTTGTTCTTCACCGAGTGATGCCGAGCATCTGTGACTAGTGCTGGTGGTGTTAGCGTTAGCTTAGCTGGGATGAGCAGCTAGATGAACTTCGGCAAACCTATTAGCTGTTGCTACAACTCAGTCATCATAAACTTACTGGGGTGGGGGCTCAGGTTTGGAAGTAACTGGAATTAAAGTGCCTTTGAAAGGTATAGCGATTAATAATGCTTAGGGTTTTAAATAATGGATTTGAAGAAAAGTAGTAGATGTAATTTTTATAGCTGTCCTGGTAATAAACACGCTTGGAGGGTCTGCCACTTGTTGTTAAGCACGTCAGTAGTGAAGAAGGTTGGTCTGGTAATGCAGCATTGTGCATTTCACAAGTTATACAGTGATAAAATGTTAAATGGAATATAGAAAAATAAAAACATTTAACTGTCAACATAACAAGTTAGTTTATCTGCCTTTGTTTTCACTTGTATCAGTCCGGAGAATAAAATGTAAAGTTTCAGAAGAATCGGTTTATTTTTCAGTTTGTAAAACATTTGATTAGTTCATGCTTTACAGTTTGTAACTTGAGCTCACGCAGAAGCTGTGCAAGAAAACATCACTTGCATTAATCGTATGAAAAATAAACAAGTGTATCTCATACGCTCTAATTGTCTAATAAAACTTTAAATTGTTCCTTGATGATTTTTGACCAGAATTGTGGAACAGAGTCACTCTATCGCTCCTGTGTTCGTTAAAATTAGCCCATTCATTGTCTGTTGTCTTCAGGGGGACAGGGGGGACGGTGTGGAAAGCTCAGAGAGCAGCTCAAGGATAAACATAAGAATTGTGCAGCCATAGACTTCTCTGAAGTCGTTACAGACCAGCTGGAGCCTTGAGCTGCTAAACTTGCAGGAATTCAAAGAGGCTCAAAAACATGTGGAAGTACTCAAGAAGTAGAAAGAGTTCAATACAGACACCACTGACATGAAAGGAAAATAATCCCCATCATTCCTTTTTACTAACCTATTTGGACCTAAAACATGCAGGTTGAACAGGAACCAGTGAGTAGGTTGAACAGGAACCAGTGAATAAAGGGGCAGGATGGATGGTCTGTTTCCTCACTATTTGTTTCTTTAAAATCTTCCCACTTTAGTCCACATGGTACCACTTTACAGATACTTTATAGATGGCTAATAGTTTATAGATATGTTGTTAATCCCTCTATAAACACTTTATAAATCATTAATAACTGTTTATTATGCATTAATTAAGGGTGACAGTGAGACAAAACTGATGTTTCTTGCCAAATCTGTTCACCTATACATTTCATTTAGTCGTTACATTAAACATTTCAGACTAAGTTGCTACCTTGTAATAATAATAAGCATTTGTAAACCTAATTTTTTAAAGATATAATATTAGCTGTAGATACTTATAATACAGTGATAAAGTACAATACTATATGCTAAATAAATAGGTGAACAGATTTGGCTCACTTTGATAAGAAACTGGTCAGTTTTGTCTGTCACCCTTAACTGTAAATTTATTTAGTGTTTTTTGTTCTGTGATCCTATGTTTTAAATGCTTAAGTATTATTATTAGTGTATTGTATTTTTTTTTCATTAATTTTACTCCCAATGATGTTGTCGTTAAGCACTTTGATAACAGGTTCTGTTTTAAATGCGCTCTATAAATAAAGTTGACTTAATGCATAATAAGCAGTTATTAATGATTTATAAAGTGTTTATAGAGGACTTAGCGTATAAACTATTTATTAACCATCTATAAGGGAAGCCTTATTGTAAAGTGGTACCGTCCACACAGTTTTACTGATGACTTGGTACTGAGTTTATGGTATAATCTGTTCTTTAGTGTGACCCAATAATCTTGTCTCTTTATGTTTGATCAGTGTGGAAGCTGATTTTTACTTTAGATAGACGTCCTTATTCCATGTTGCTCTCCTGCACAAAACAGGAAATGATGGATGGATCCAGAGAGTAGAAAGGAGAAGTATAAAGGCCATCTTGTTGCAGGAGTTACGTGGCTATTTTTATTTCGAATTTCAGCCCATTTAAAGAAAATCTATTTTTTTTCTACATTTCACCACATTTAGCCAAGTGTTAAAGTTAAATCTTTGCAAAAAAAATAACTGAACCTTACAAGTTGTGTTCATGGTGTCACCGTTAAGGACGGCATGCTTGATCTCAGTCCTGTGAAGTTTGTGTCTGGTTATTAGCAGTAAATAAAAATGTATCAGCTGTGGATTGTGCAGCTGCAGACTGACGGTGACACATCTGCTTCAAAGTTACAGAACATGATCAGATTATTGTTTCTGACAACCTCACAAACCTCAGCCGTGGCCTGAAAGGTTCTGACCTCACACTCACAAAGCCACAAGAGCTTGTAAAGCTGCCGATGTTACAAATCAAGTCTTTAATATTCCTTTAAATTATTTTAAGTGCAGTTTAGAGAAAACAAGATGAAGACATAAATTATTTACAGAGGAATTAATGAAACATTTCATAAGTGGACTGGTTTTGAAATGCTGATTTGTTTGCAGATCAATGGAACAAGTTTTCATTTTCTATTCTTTATACACAGTTAATTATAACCTGCTAATCAGAAATGTTCTTTTTGGATAAATGTTTGTCTTTAGGTTCACTGACTTGAGTAATGTTTTAATCCCAAACTTTTGATCCCTGTAGTCCAGCACATTTATCTTGTTCCTCAGTGACTGTAGACAATGAACCTGCATGACTCTGTCTCTGGATCTGTCCAACATGGACCAAGGTCAAAAAGAGAAAAACAGAATTGGCTGGATGTCCAATTAGAGATGTCCTTTCTGCTCTCTCCTGCCCTCTTGTGGCAGTCTGACTAGGTTTGTTCTTAATCTAGTGCTAGACGTTCTGGCCTGTTAGGCCTTATAAATTTAATGAAATAAAATGTTTTAATAAAAAAATGAACATAGTTATAAAATATTTAATATCCACTGTATAGTACCAATAATGATCCAGAGTTAGTGATAAATCTGTCAACAGTCCTCAGTATGTTTCCACTGCTGCAGAATAAACCAGCAGTATCAAAATCAACCACAAACACATGAATTCCCATTGTGTTTTAAAAATTCAACCACAACAATTTTCTCAAGAAACAAGCATGCTTACACTGAATAAAATTTAGATTATTATTTGTCTGACATTAATTAACCATAATTGCTGGGTATGTGCAGGACAGACAGGAAAGGGATTATAGGACCCTGGTCGAGGACTTTGTAGTGTGGTGCAAATCCAACCATCTACAGCTGAATATCAGTAAAACTAAGGAAATGGTAGTGGACAAAAGGTCTGGGCCTAACTCGAAGTCAGTCTCAACTGAGGGGGTCGATGTGGGGGTGGTCAGGACCCAACAACATCTGGGCATACAACTGGATGACAGGCTGGACTGATCAGTGAACATGGACTCACTCAGTCTACAGTAAGGGTCAGAGCAGGCTCTCCTGAGGAGGCATGGGTCCTTTACCATCTGCAGGAAACTATGGCTGATGTTCTACCAGTCTATGGTAGCCAGTGTCTTCTGTACTGGTGTGTGTTGGGGAGGCAACATTAAGAGGAGAGATGCAGGGCAACTTGACAGACTGGTGAGGAAAGATGGTTTTGTGCTGGGAACAGAGCTGGAGTTCCTTACATCGGTGGCAGAGGAAAATGCTCTCAGTAAGCTGCTGTCCATCATGACGATGCTGATCATCCTCTGCACGGCACCACCATGAAGCAGAGGAGCTCCTTCAGTGGTGCACTGCTGCTCCGTGGACAGATTCAGGAAGTCCTTTGTCCTTCATGACATCAGACTGTTCAACTCTTCCCCGTACAATAAAAATGGAGCCCTGTAAATCTGCAGTACCCCGGACACTAGTGTATGTGTATGAATGTATACATACAGTATATAGGTTAATCATGAATGTAGTACTCCCTGCCACCTTGTGCATGTGCATGGTATTTTTTCCAAATTTGTGTATTCTGCTTTTTTGTTGATTTCCCCCTGGGATTACCATCTGTCCGTCCATCCGTCCATCATTAAACTATTCTGTCAGTTTGAAGGGAAGGTGAAACCCAGAATGTGGGCTGAAGACATGAAACTCGAAGAAAAACGTATTTAACTGAAAAACAAAACACTGTTGTGGCAGCTAAAAATAACATTAAATCTCAGACGAGCTGGAGCACAAAACACAGAGAGGACTGTAAGAGACACCGAACGCTCGTCTGATGAGCAAACACAAACCTACTTAAAAAACACTCTGTGACAAACAGCTGGCGAGGAGACGGGAGTGGGTGGTCCAGAGCAGAGGAACAGAAACCAAACAGAGAACACAGGAAGGTAAAGGTAAACAATAATCACACATACACAAAAAAAAACCTTCCATAAAAACAACAAAAATACAGATACTGACAGACTTATCTGGGCCTGACTCTGCTTAATGAATAAAACACCTTATGGTGGTTTATACTCGTGCCAATCCTTCATCTAAAGTCACACACCTTTATTTATTTAATCAGAGTTGAAAACAAGATGGCAGCACGGTGGCTCATTTGGTAGAGCTGTTGCCTCAGTGAGAAGGTCGCCAGATCAAATCCCAGCTGGGGGCCTCTCTGGGTGGAGTTTGCATGTTCTCTCCGTGCTGCGTGGGTTTTCTCCAGTATTCCGGTTTCCTCCCACAGACCAAAAACATGCATGTTAGTCTGATTGGTAACTTAAATTGATCCTAGGTGTGAGTGAGAGAGTGAATGTTTGTTTGTCTCTATGTGTCCTTGAGAAGGACTGGAGACCTGTCCAGGTGTCCCCCACATCTCGCTCAATGATAGCTGGATATGGACACAAGGGACCCCCATGATCCAAAAAGGAAGAAATGGGTAAAGATGATGGATGAAAACAAGTTGTGAAGGGATTTAAAACAACCACACCTCCACTAAAGAACAGTAAAACTGCTGTCCAGAAGAATATTTAACAAGTGATTAATTTGTTTGTTTCAATAACTCCTCAATATAAAACTATGTACAAGAATCTGGTACAAACAAGCCAAATAAAATATTTTTTTTGCCAAAACTTGGGGAAAAAAGGAACTGACTGTGTTTCACACAGATTTTATTATTCACATAAGATTGTAATAAATAAATATTTGGCATTAGAAGACTGTTAAAATAAAGAGCAAAGTTTTATTTTCCTCATCACACACACACACACATTTATTTTTGCACACCCCGGAAGGCAGTTGACATTTATCCTGCAGACAACGTGACGGTTCAAAAACAAAAAAAATCTCTACAAACATCCATTTACTTTAACTAACACAGGTTCATCTTTGTTGAAACGTTTAGTCTTTTATCCAAAATACTTCTTCAGTCTGAGGAGCTGCAGCAAACTCAGTCTTTGCAGCACCTTCACATACTGATGCTGCAATAACAGCATTGTAAGTGGGGGACAGTTGGACACGCCCATTTAACGATGGACGGGTTCTCTTCACAAAGATGGCTTCCTTCACTCCTTTCTCAAACCATCGTTCCTCTCTATGAAGGATGTGAACATCTTCATCCCTGAAAGAGTGACTGCTGTCCTGCAGATGAGTGTAAACCTCAGAGTCCTGGCCTGATGATGTTGCTCTTCTGTGCTGGGCCATCCTTTTGGTCAGTGGCCGTTTAGTTTCACTGATGTAAGACTGGTCACAGCCCTCCTGACACAGACTGCAAACTGGTTGATCCACTTTGAGAAGATGCTTATAAGACTGAGTTTGTTGCAGCTCCTCAGACTGAAGAAGTCTTTTGGATAAAAGACGAAACATTTCAACAAAGAAGAATCCGTCCAGAGGACCTGACTCACCATCGTTAGATTTATCTCCCTGGATTACTGAGCATCAGGACATACATTTTAACTACTTTTTCTGTCAGAGTTGCTGGTTTTGATCTCCAGCTGTCATCCCTGCAAGGAGTGTAAATAAAATACCCAACAACTCTGATTACTCTTCTATAACTTGTGAGTGTGAAAACTTTGGACTAAAAACTGTGTACACGTAAAATATGTATCAACAAGCAACAAAAATATTAACATATTGCAAGAAAAATAAATTTTTTACATTTTATTATAAAAAAATGAACAAACTTAAGCTTTTTTTCAATTATAACCTCACACAGCATTGAAGTGTTGGTGTTTCAACAGCAAGTGTAAAATATTAAAAGCATGAATCCATCTTTCCTTTTGATGCCTCAGCCTGAAGGGAGTTGTCATGGGAGTCACACTTCTGTTGATTTGCCTTTCCGTAATCTGGATAAAATATAATACAAAGACAAAATAAGATAAAGAGAGGAGTGAATAATATAAAATGTTTAGCAGGCTTTCAGTTTGTAATACATATATTTTAATTTAAAACAAATAACTGGTTGACAGAGTGATGTGTTATAAAATTCTAATGGAGTAAAAAGGAAATGAACTTAAGAACATTTCTGAAATGTTGTAGTGTACTATTGTAGATACTGTCTTAAATTTCAAAATGCATTTTTTTTCTGTAAAGCGAATACTGTAGATTTTCTTTTCTTAAATTTTAACTAACAAAATGCCATATTTTGCTGTGTTAAGCCCTATTCGCACTGGATTAGTTTTACCTAGGGACCACATGCCATTTGTAATAATTAAGAGATAAGATAAGATAAGATGAGATACAATAAGATAAAGTAGAACTTTATTGATCGCACAGGAAATTATTGTGCCAGAGTTTCAATACAAAAGGAACATACACAAGAATCACAAGATATAAAAATAATTACAGAGATTGTTTGTATTGTTAATCCTGTGCGAATCGGCCATGTCAGTAATTTGTAAAGTGAAAATTTCCTCGCAAATTACCTACTATATTTTGCTGAACTCCAATGTCCTGTGATAATACTAATCCAATGCGAATAAGCATCTCTGTGATTTGGACAGAAATGGGCGGGGTCTGATACGTAATTAGGTGTTTTTTGGTTTCCTGGGCGATTTTTATTTGCTTATGGCAATGGAGGCTGCATTGGAGTGCATAAATAACCGTTTGTGTCCCGTACCAGCAAAAGCCTATTGACCCATAACGGTCACCAAAAAAAAAATCTTGAACACACAAGCGGCTGTTACGCAATACACAGCACGTTAACATCATAACCGGAAGATGTCCATAAATTTCAGTTAAATCTCAGACTTTGGTTATCTCGTGCGAATGCGCCACATAAAAAGCAGACGTTGGGGAGTCATTTATTTATTACATGTGGTCCCTAGGTAAAACTAATCCCGTGTGAATAGGGCTTTAGTTGCATGAGAAATGTAAAGAAAACTAAACAAAAATATTAAAATTGCAGCCAGGGACCCATTAGAGTCACCATGGTAACCACAAACCTGCAGCTTCCACTTCTCTGACAGCAGACACACAGTAGAAAAGCTTTAAACCTTTTGTAAAAACTTCAAATTATATTGGAAGAGTTTCTGAACTGCAAGCATTAGAAGCATACAGTGGTCATTGGTCATACAAGACAGGCAGAAATTCAGACTAAAAAGTAGGCCTCAAATGACAGTCATTGTGTGAAAACTACAGATTAGATCTAACAATTTCATGAACTGTTAGTGGCAGAAAGCTCCTGAGGTCACGCTTGTTATTTTTTGTGTCTATAATGTTTTATGTAATGGACCTAACAAGGTAAAAAGACCCTTTACTTTTAGTTTTGAAGAGCAATGCTGAGCTTGGATACAATGGCAGACGATGAGAGTTTGGATATGAGCTCTGTGAACTTTGAGGAAATTAGAGAAAACCCAAAAGTTTTATAACTGTGAGTTACTGTACACCCTGAAAGATGACAAAGATCCTGTATTTTAATGTAAAATATAGAGTATATATGTAAAAAAAGTGTAGTATTTGTGGAATTATGGACAGTTTGCAAAATTATAGAAAGTCTGAGTTAGTGTGTGACAATCACTAATTTTAACATTTTGTGAAGAGGTTTCCAAAAACCCTTTAAACAAGACCTAATCAGCAGCCACTTAAAAACCTTTAAAAATAATAAAATGCCAGTTCAGATATGGAAAGTACAACTTTCCATGAGCTGTTTAAGCTTTGAACGATGTTTCTGCTCTGATTATGTCTGAAGCTCCGAAGGAGGCTGAATGTTCCAACTCCATCAAACTCCTATTTTTGTGTTTGTGGAAAATGTTGGCAGATACTGCAGAACACCCAGGTTGACTTACTTCAACTCGTCTTGGAGCCGTTTTAGTTTGTCCTTCAGACGATCGTTCTTCACCTTAATGGGATTGTCGGGGACGAACCAGGCTGCAATAAACTTACACACCACCACCACATGCTGAAGAATAAACCAAAAGAAAAAACAAACAAGGTAAAGTTGAATTAATATTTTCTCTTTTTAAATTTTTTTTTTGGTCTTTCAGAAATGATCCTTACCACATCACTGGTACAAACCTCAAACAGGATGATGAAGGTTAAACGTACAGCCAGAACCAGCCAGAACTGCGGGGTCAGAGAGTGGTCCACTTCATTCCTGTAGTCTCTGTAGCTGTAAACAGGAAACAGTTGGTTCTGCCTCTAAACGAGTTATGTGTGCACAGAGCAGAGTCCTGCAGGGTTCTCACCTGCATGGAGTGACATTAAAGAAGTTTCTTTCAGATGGGTGTACGTAGACGTCCCGGTTGTCTGTGCTCATAAAGGCTGTGGACAGGGTGTTGTTAATGTAGCCCTGCATGCAGCTGCAGAGGACAGAGACACATAAGAACAAAGAACAGCCTGCTGACGTCAGTTTCAATCAAGACATACTACTGACTGAGTGTCCGTGAGTCCATTGGCACAAGGGCCGTAACGATAACGATAAACGAGACGAGGAATGAAGTCTGAGGAGATTCCAATGACCAGACCATTAGCAATCACTGCCAGTACACCAACGGCCTCCAGCACCTGTGTCCAAACACCTGTAAACACACAATAATACAATTACACACACAACACACACATATATAAAATGCTTTCCATATGGTTTTAGTAAATTAAATAAAGTGCTCTCATTACTGACCTACGTCAAAGGTGATAATGTTTTGCCAGAGTCTGTAAGTGTTTGTCTGCTGTATGAACCACCGGAGAGATTTTAGCAAAACTGTCCAAAAGTAATCATTGGAGGTACATCTACAACTAAATAATGCTTGGTATTAATTTGGTAAACTTATTTTCATCTTTAAATCACTTCTTGGTCTGTTGCCTACTCCTCCTATGTCACTCCGTGAGTGCAACGTGCGCTTTCAGGACATTACTACATGCAGTGTTCCCTCAGTGCGGACGGAACTAGGCAAAAAGGCCTTCTCCTACTCCACTCCTGTTTCCTGGAATATCTTGCAAAAAGATCTGAAGCTCTTGACCTTGATCTCTCTAAGGGATTTTAAACATCTGCTAAATTCATGGCAAAAAACAACGCAGACATGTTCCTGTTTTTAGTATTTTACATCGCTTTACAATGTAGCTGTTTTTGTTTCATTTTTTAATATAATTTATTTTATTTACTTTTCAGTTTATATGCTTTTTACATGATTGTCTATTGTTGTGTGTAGTCATCTGTGTTCTTTGTTTAAATCAGGTCTCTCTTGTAAATGAGTCCTTGTGGCTCAATGAGACAAATCTATATAAATAAAGGTTGAATGAATCTGAAATCAACCATGGTTAAAGATTAACCTTGTTGATTTTTATACCTGGATTATTGAACATGCATCAGGACAAATAGTAATATTCAATTACCATCATCATCTGCTCCCAAGGTACTTATTTACTTAGCATGGTGTGTATTGTTTCGTTCTGTGTTTTCAACTATCTGGATAAAATAAAATATTTGGTTATTGGTTATTTGTAGTTACTGTATAGGACAGGACTGGTCAACGCCAAAATTTCTCAGCTGATTCATCATAATGTTTTGCCCACAATGATCAAAACGAAAGTTAAGTATGTAACTACAGATTTATGAATCCCATGATGACCGCCAGAGGGCGGTGCTGAAAGCACTGAATGTTACCTTCGCACATGCGCTGTTCGAGTAGTAATACCAGTGGAGTCACAGGCGTGACATGGATGACCATTCAGAGGCTATATAGCCTGACGTCATCCGCAGCTCTGCTCCTACAGAATCTTCTCGCATAATGCAAGGATTCTGAGTGACAGAGAAGCTCTGGCGGTCATCCGGGATTCAAAGAACTGTAGTTACATACGTAACTTTTGTTCTATTCCATCCCTACTGACCGCCAAAGGGTGGTGCTGATAGCACTGAATGACTAATACCAACGATGTCACAAGGAATCTTGAGCACACACCTCACTGAGGAGGCCCAGAGGACCCTTGCAGAAGAACCTGGCCCAGGGGATGAGGGGTGGCCATGTTAACCCTGTAAAATCTGGTGAACGTGCTTGGGGAAGCCAATGATGCAGCAGCACATATTGCTTACAGCAGAACCCCTCTCAGGGCTGCCCAAGAAGTGGAGATGCTCCTGGTAGCGTGGGTCTTCATGCCGACCAGCAGGGGGTCGTGTCCTGTGGCATAGGCATGGCAAATGACATCCCCGATCCAGTGGGAGAGGCACTGTTTGGAAAGAGGACAGCCTAACATAGGGCCTCCGTAAACACAAACAACTGGTCTGAACGTCGTATAACTGCTGTAACTGCAATGTATGCCTCCAGTGCCGTCACTGGGCACAATAATCCAGACCCCTCGCCTGGCATAGGGTGAAAACGTGCCAGCCTCAACAGTTAGTTACAGTGAGAGTGAGAACACCTTTGGTACAAATGCAGTGTTTGGCCACAAGGTAACACCAGAGCCCTCAGGGCCCCACCTGAGACATGAGGGGCTGACTGAGAGAGCATGTAGCTCACCGACCCTCTTTGTTGAGGCAATAGCCAACAAAAAAGCCATCTTAAATGAAAGCCACTTGAGGTACACCTGCGTCAGAGGCTCGAACGGAGGGCGGCACAGAGCTTCGATAACCAAGGGCAGATCCCAACCAGGTGCTCGTGGAGCTGTCGACGGGTGCAACCTACGGGCACCACGCAGAGAAAGAGAGACTAGATTATGGCTCCCACTGTACAGCCATCAATGCTGGCATGATTAGATGATATTGCCGCTATATAAACTTTAAGCATCGAAGGAGAGTGACCCTTACCCAAGGAGAGACTGGAGAAACTCCAGAATGGTGGATACTGTACAGGAGACTGGATCCTCATTGTGAACAGAACACCATTGGGAAAACAGATGCCACCTGTTTTCGTACTGCTGACGAGTAGAAGGTGCCCTGGTGCCCAGGATGGTGCGTCTGATGGGGCTCGAAACTCCAGTCAGCTGCCACACCCACAGCCAAAGACGTTAAGGATTTGGGTGTCATATCCATCCCACCAACTGAGACAGCATGTCCCTCTTGGTCGAAGACACCATGGGATGCCTTTACATAGACTCAATAGCAGTGAGAACCATGATCGTGCTGGCCAATATGGAGCCATTAGCAGCATCCTGTGGCCCTCCTCGAGGACTCTCTGAAGGGCCAGCCAAATTAGAGAAAGGGGTGGAAAGGCATATAGGAGGACCCTTTGGCCAAGGATGAGCCAATGCGTCGTAGCTCGGCGCACCCGATGCCCCCGTAAGGGAGTATTATAGGGAACACTGAATCGACTCTTCTGTCGCAAACAGGTCTACTTCTGCCTGACCAAAACGGTCCCAGATCATCAGCACTATGTTGTTGTGGAGGGACCACTCTCCTGAAGTGGACCCCTGACGGGAGAGAAAATCTGCAACCTGATTGTGTCACCCTGGTAGGTATGACAGGCAAGGAGAGGCCCATTCCATGAGCTCTCTGGACACTCTCAGAAGTTGAGATGGTTGATTTGGTAGACAACAGAGGTGTTGTCTGACTGAACGAGAACATGCCCCCCTTCCAGGTGGGACAGGAAGTACCTGAGTGCCAAATGCACTGCATGCAGCTCTAGCACATTTATATGCTTGAAATGATCCTTTTGACGCCAGCAGCCCTGAACTGCTCTGTGTTGCCACACAGCGCCCCATCCCATGGAACTGGCATCTGTCGTCACCACTTCCCTGCGACACACTACCACTTCCATGGGGACACCCCTGGACAAATAATCTTCATCCCTCCATGAAGTCAGGGCATGAAGACATGACCACATCACTGCGAGTTTGTGATGCCTGTGCAGCCAGACTTGGCTTGCCTCTTCCTAGGAGGGGCCACAGAGACTGCGGCCACAGAGACTGCGGCCTCAGTCCGGCGCTTCGAGCGCCTAGGTGGAGCCTCCTTCTCAGAAGGTGGGAGGTCACTGCTGAGCTCGGGGCAAAACTGGACCAGCCAAGCCACTCTCACGGCACAAGGCATGAAGCTGCAGTTCATGCAGGGGTTCTCTGATAGAGCCTCCATCAGATGGTCATGCCCAAGGCAGGCAGGACACAGGTCGTAACCGTCATCTGCCTGGAGCATGGCCCCACAATCTGTGCAGCAGTGAGAGCTGTCCATGCTCCTTACTTTAGGCAGTTTAGCCACGTTAATCAAAGTAAAAAACTACAACTCAAAGGGGCTGGTACCGCCAGCTACGTCCAGGATACAAGACGAAAGGATAGGCTGAGAATTGGGAGAGAAGGCACACCTGCTTGCCGTCACCAATTAAGGCAAATAAAATCAGACAGGCTAACGCCGCTAGCTTAGCTGGTAAAAGTGGACAATTGGAAGATGGGGCGCTAACGCTTGCCTTCTCCAATAAAAAACAAGACCAGAACGTAGAGAGGCTAGTACCGCTAGCTCGGTCCAACCGTGTATGAGGTTGGTGAGAACAACTGGGAGAGGGTGTGTGAACGCTTGTCTTGACCCATGAAAACAAGGCCAGAACGTAGGGAGGTTAGTACCACTAGCTTAGTCCAACTGTGTATGAGGTTGGTAAGAACAATTGGGAGAGGGTGCATGAATGCTTGCCTTCACCAATGAAAACAAGGCCAGAACGTAGGGAGGCTAGTACCGCTAGCTTGGTCCAACCATGTATGAGGTTAGTAAGAATGATTGGGAGAGGGTGCGCAAATGCTTGCCTGCACCAATTAAAACATGGCCAGAACTCAGAGAGGCTAGCACCGCTAGTTCAGTCAAACCTTTTATGAGGTTTATGAAAATGATTGGGAGAGGGGGTGCGAATTCTTGCCTTCTCCAATAAAAAACAAGACCAGAATGTAGAGAGGCTAGTACCGCTAGCTCAGTCCAACCGTGTATGAGGTTGGTGAGAACGATTGGGAGAGGGTGCATGAACGCTTGCCTTCACCAATGAAAACAAGGCACACTACACATTGAAAAAACAAAACAAAAAAACAACAACAGCAACAACAAATGTAGAAATGTTTCGTCTTTCATCCGAAAGACTTTCTCAGTCTGAGGTGATGTATTCAGCTCAGTCTTATAAATAGCACCTTCTCAGAGTGGATCAACCAGTTTGCTACTGACAACCAAAACCAGCTGCTCACATCATCAAGAAGGACCATCAGCCTAACGATGGATCATTAGCACCCTGATGGCTGTTTACTATTTACAGGGGGCTGGGTGATACTAGCAATAACAGCATTGTAAGAGGGGGACAGTTGAACACGGAGGCCTCCAACCCTGTTTAATGATGGACGATTTATTTTCACAAAGATGGCCTCCTTTACTCCTCTCTCAAACCATTGTTCCTCTCTATCCAGGATGTGAACATCTTCATCCCTGAACGAGTGACCGCTGGCCTGGTGTAGACCGCAGAGTCCTGGCCTGATGGTGTTGCTCTTCTGTGCTGGGCCATCCTTTTGACCAGTGGCTGTTTAGTTTCCCCGATATAAGACTGATCACAGCCCTCCTGACACTGAACAGCATACACAATATTACTCTTGTTTGTGCCGGGGGACTCGATCTTTGGGATGAACCAGTCTTTGCCGTAATGTATTTTGGGGTTTAAAAGCCACTGGGATGTTGTGTTTAGAAAATAAATGTCTCAGTTTCTCTGATGCTCCCGCAACATACGGAATGACCACTGGTCTGGGTCTGGGTTTCTCCTTTTCACCTGATGGCGGACTGGAGTCCTGTTTGGGTTTCTTCTCTGCTTTCAGGAAGGCCCAGTTAGGATATGCACGTTGCTCTAGAGCCTGTCTTGTGTGGGATTTTTCCTTCTACCTGGCTCCTGAGTTAGTGGGGACGCTGTCTGCTCTGTGGTACAGAGTCCTGATGACTCCTAACTTGTGTTGCAAATGGTGATGGGAGTCAAACTACAAATACTGGTCTGTGTGGGTGGGTTTGCGGTACACCTCAGTTTGCCAATGTCCTCTATCAGACTGAGATCTCACAGTCCAAGAAAGCCAACCTGCCATTTTTTTACATCTTCTTGTGTGAACTTGATGTATTTATCCACAGAGTTGATGTGGTCAGTAAAATGTTGGACTTCCTGAGATTTAATTTTAACCCAGGTGTCATCAACATACCTGAACCAATGACTTGGTGGTGTCCCTGAAAAGGATGTCAAGGCTCTCTTTTCTACCTCCTCCATGTACAGGTTGGCAACAATAAGAAAAACTGGAGACCCCATAGCACACCCATGTTTCTGCCTATAATATTGCTCCCCATTTGTGAAGTATGTTGACTGCAGGCACAGTTTCAAGAGTTGACACCGTTGACAGAGGACCAGATTTAACTTTTTTAGATTTTTCTACCTGGATTATTGAGCATGCATCAGGACTACTCACCAGTGTTGAATAACACACATAGTAGTCAGACGCTGCAAGTTGGGAGGGGGGCGAAAACTGCCGTAGACCCCAACAAACCGCAGAAATACCTTGAACAGGGCTAAACTCTTGCAGCCCCTAGGAGGGCGAACCCACTACTACAACCAACAGGCAGTCGGGCATCCAACAATGGTGAAAAGTTCCAAAGTCCAAAGGGCTGATGCCCTGAATTGAACCGTGCGCAAGAAGGAAAAAGGAGCAAAGCTGCGGATGACATCAGGCTATATAGCCTCTGATTGGTCATCCGTGTCACACCTGTGACTCCATTGGTATTACCACTCGAACAGCGCATGCGTAAAGGGAACATTTAGTGCTTTCAGCACCACCCTCTGGCGGTCAATAGGGATGAAATAGAACTACAAGCAGCTCCAGCACACAAATCTGCCTCATGTGCACATTTTGCTGGTTTTAGCTCAATGATATGTCCACTACTAAGGCTGGGCCTTCCTCAGCTATGGGTGTGGTAGAGATTCAATAATCAAATGTCTGCCTCACTAGTTTTTGCTCAGGAGCCGCTGCTGCTAATTTATGACATTAAATCATCCAGTTTTACAAACAAACAATCTTTGACTCTTTCAAACACCAACCTATATCATTGGTCTTCCTGGGGATCAGACGCTGCTCCAAACGAACCATCTTGATGGCATCCAGGCGGATCTCAAAGATGTTGTTGATGAGAGCAAGAAGAGGTGCAAGGGGGAAGGCTGCCACAAATATGGTGGTAAAACTGAACTGGATCACTAGAAACCAAAGAGAGCAGTGAGTCCATAGAAATGCAGCAATATAACTAGTGCTGCTGAATGCATGCATGTTGTAAACAAGGACCCACCCATCTCCAGGAATTCATTGAACAGACTGAAGGAATCAGAAACAGACAAGTGGTAGTTTTTCAGCCACACACGAAGTTTGCAGGTATCACATGGTTCTACACGTCCATGCACATCGCGGCATGCTTTTCTGTAGCAGTGACCACACTTCCTCGACAGCTTCTTCTCAGCCCTTCCGCTCAAAAGACTCTTAAACCAGCTGCAAAGGATGCAACCAAAGAATCAGACACGGTTTTCATAAAGTAACACGAATTCAACAGTTTCCTTACACGTGAAGTTAAAGTAGAAAAAGACTCACGGAACAGTGAATTCAAAAATGTTGTTTAGAGTCTGCTTGAGCACCATGATCACGGCCATCTGAATGAAGAGGTCTGTCAGACAGCCACTAGGATGGCACTGTAAAACAACAGCTCTGAGTCTACAGGCATGGTATTACGAACAAGAATAAATAAATAAATAAATAATAATCATATCACCTCTTCCAACCTGAAACTTGCAATACGTGCATATTGTCCTGGATGGCCATTTACCCTGAAACAAAAAACATAAAAACGTCTCAACCAAATCCAACATTTTTCAGTCAGGTCATCTGGACAGTTTCTTTTTGTTTGTGCTGAAACATTTTGCCTTCGGTCTGGAAGGCTTCATCAGTCAAGGAAACATATAACAAAACTGATTCTTCCCCCAACAGCTTACTCCAAAGTGGAACAAACCAGTTCTGATTGTGATAAGATGGTCTCTTTGGTACGTCCCCTCTTCCATTGCCGGCCCTCTTCCTTGTTGGCAGTCTTGTCAAACTGGTTGAAAACAACAAAGTCCTTGCTCAATAATCCAGGTATACAATCCAACATTTTTCAGTCAGATCATCTGGACAGTTTCTCTTTTTTTGTGCTGAAACGTTTTGACCATCTTATCACAAGCAGAACTGGTTTGTTCCACTTTGGAGTAAGCTGTTGGGGGAAGAAGAAAAAAAATAATAATAACATGAGGGTTTTGAGGGGGTCCCTGAAACTTTTTCTCCCCTGTAAGGGGTCCCTGAACCCAAAACGTTTGAGAACCCCTGTTGTAGATTACTATTACCATTTCTTTTTTGTCATTTAAGGCAACTTTTCCATCTATCATCCATCCATCCATCCATCCATTCTCTTCTGCTTATCTGGGGTCGGGTCACAGGGGTAGCAGCCTAAGTAAGGAGGCCCAGACTTCCCTCTCCCCAGCCACTTGGGCCAGCTCCTCCATGGGAATCCCAAGGCGTTCCCAGGCCAGCCGAACATAGTTCCTTCAGTGTGCCCTGGGTCTTCCTCTGGGTCTCCTCCCGGTGGGACATCAAGAGGCATCCTAACCATAGATGAGGGTAGGAACGTAGATCGACCGGTAAATTGAGAGCTTCGCCTTTTGACTCTGCTCTCTCTTCACCACAACAGACCGGTACAGCGCCAGCTTCACTGCAGACGCTGCACCTATCCGCCTATTGATCTCACACTCCATTTTTCCCCTCTTTTGTGAACAAGACCCAAGATACTTAAACTCCTCCACTTGGGGCAGGACCTTCTCCCCGACCCAGAGAGGGCACTCTGCCCTTTTCTGGCTCAAGCCCATGGCCTCGGATTTGGAGGAACTGATCCTCATCCCCGCCGCGTCACACTCGGCTGCAAACCACTCCATCGAAAGCTGTAGATCCCGACCTGATTAAACCAATAGGACCACATCATCTGCAAAAAACAGAGAAGTGATCCTAAGGCCACCAAAATGGATCCCCTCAACACCTTGGCTGCACCTAGAAATTATGTCCATAAAAGTTATGAACAGAATCAGTGACAAAGGGCAACCTTGGCGGAGTCCAACTCTCACTGGGAACGAGCCCGACTTACTGCCGGCAATGCGGACCAAGCTCTGACACTGGTCGTACAGGGACCTAACAGCCTGTATCAAAGGGCCTAGTACCCCATACTCACGGATTACCTCTCACAGGGCTCCCCGAGCGACGCGGTCGAATGCGTTCTCCAAGTCCACAAACAACATGTAGACTGGTTGGGCAAACTCCCACGCACTCTCCAGGACCTTGCTGAGGGTGAGGTCCAGTGGACATCCAGTCCACTGGACCAGGACTGGGTGTCCTGGTCCAGTGTTCCACGACCAGGACAAAAACCGCACTGCTCCTCCTGAATCCAAGGTTTGACTATCCGATGGACCCTCCTCTCCAGAACCCCCAAATAGACCTTACCAGGGAGGCTTAAGAGCGTGATCCTCCTGTAGCTGGAACACACTCTACGGTCCCCCTTTTTGAATAGGGGGACCACCATCCCAGTCTGCCAATCCAGGGGAACTGCCCCCAATGTCTACGCAATATTGTAGAGTCGTGTAAGCCAACACAACCCCACAACATCCAGAGCCTTCAGGAACTCCGGGCGAATCTCATCCACCCCTGGGGCCCTGCCACTGAGGAGCTTTTTAACCACCTTGGTGACCTCAGCAACAGAGATTGGAGAGCCTGACCCAATGTCCCCAGGCTCTGCTTCCTCAGTGGAAGATGTGCTAGTGGGATTGAGGAGGTCTTCCAAGTATTCTGCTCACCGACCCACAACATCCCGAGTTGAGGTCAGCAGCACACCACCTTCACTATAAATAGTGTTGGTGGCGTACCACTTTCCCCCCCTGAGATGCCAGATGGTGGACAAGAATCGCCTCAAAGCCGTACAGAAGTCATTCTCCATGGCCACTCCAAACTCCTCCCACGCCTGAGTTTTTGCCTCAGGGATCAGCCATTTCACCACCAGGTAGTGGTCAGTGGACAGCTCCGCTCCTCTCTTCACCTGAATGTCCAAGACATGCGGCCACAGATCAGATGAGATGACAACAAAGTCTATCATCAAACTGTGACCTAGGGTGTCCTGGTGCCAAGAGCACATATGGACACCCTTATGCTTGAACATGGTGTTCGTGATGGACAATCCATGACAAGCACAGAAGTCAAATAACAGAACACCATTCGGGTTCAGATCAGGGGGGCCATTCCTCCCAACCACACCCCTCCAGGTCTCACTGTCATTGCCCACATGAGCGTTGAAGTCAACTTTTCATTTTAATTAAAGTGCACCACTTGTTTTAAACCAGGACATTGCTGTTCAATGAACAATCTTCCACTTCAACCTAAACTGAGTTTCTAAAGCAGGCCATTTCATCTTGTAGCCCACAGGCCAGATACAGCTCTTTTTGAAATTCTTTCGCTCCCGTAACACTGTCAAACTAATTCATCTGAGAATAATGATACAAATCTACAAAATATATCAGAGCTACTTCCATACCTCATTATATTAAGCTAGTATAAGTGTGCATCTGTCAAAGACAATCTTTGGTAACTTCATGACTTGCCACGAGTTCTGATCTAAAGATTTCTGTCTTTACATTCACTTACAGTATCCATTGTGTTTATTCTTATAGGCAAGATGAAGAAGTACTGCACCAGTAGTTGCATCTCAATGGCAGTGTTAGTGCATTTACAGAACTGCATACCTGCCCAGAAAAAAGGCCACGTAGAACAGAGATGAGAAGAGAGTGAAGAACTGGAAGGTGAACATCTTGACTGTGAAGCTTCTCTCTCTGGCTTTCTGTGAATGTGGCTTCTCTGAAGGGCACAAACAAACCAAAACACACGGAAGGTTAGAAAGCTCTGAAAATGTTCAATGCTTGAACAGTGTGGAGTATAATTTACTGAACTGTTTCATACAGAACTATTGTCTCACCTAGATGAGAGAGCTTGAGCGACACCCATTTATTAACCTGACGATGGTGCAGAAAGAGACACAAGGAGCAACAGAGAGGTCATGAATTTACAAAGAACTTTGTAAGATCAGAAATCGATCGTACATTTCCTCAGAAGTCTCTACTACCAAACATTTTAAAAGGTTTCTGGTTTGAAGAGTCTTTCATGGATGCTTTATGTCTCAAAATGAATTCAAGCTGTATGTTTTGTTCAGCTCAGTTTTAGACACAGACAAGAAAAAGATCACAATTTAATGTCAAATTACAGTCTTCTAATGATTTCATAGATGGAAGGTTCACAACAGAGAAATCATTGTTTCTCGTATCTTTCCAACTCCAAGATTTCCCAGGTCTCTCTTGCAAATGAGACTTTGATCTCAGTGTGGTTTTAAATTTGGTTAAAAAATGAAATTAATGAATGATTGAAAAATAAATTGGTTTTATTAGCCAATACATTACTAATCATGTTCTGGATCCTGGAGGGGAGCCAGTGTGACGGGGGCCTAAAAGACTGACGTATTTTTCACCCTATAAGTCACTTTTTTTTTTGCACAATTTACATGACTTGTGACTTATAGGCCAAAGTGACATATTTATTGATTTTTTTCTTCCATATTTATAAACCGGCAGCACGGTGGCACAACTGGTAGAGCTGCTGCCTCTCAGCGAGAAGGTCCTTGGTTCAAACCCCGGTCCAGGGGCCTTTCTGGGTGGAGTTTGCATGTTCTCTCCGTGCATGCGTGGGTTTTCTCCGGGTGCTCCGGTTTCCTCCCACAGACCAAAAACATGCATGTTAGGCTGATTGGTAACTCTAAATTGTCCCTAGGTGTGAGTGAGAGAGTGAATGGTTGTTTGTCTCGTTTGTCTCTATGTGGCCCTGTGATGGACTTGCGACCCGTCCAGGGTGTACCCCGCCCCTCGCACAGTGATTGCTGGACATGGGCACCAGCGATCCCCATGACCCAAAATGGAATAAATGGGTAAAGATAATGGATGGATGGATGGATATTTATAAACTAATTTTTGGCTGAGATATGACCATTTTCAGTCATTCTGACTGAAAACATTGAACACTACCATTTTCAGTCACTAGATGGCACCAGAGTACCACAATGTGCAAATTTCCTCCTTTCTTGTTTCCTCCCTGTCTGCTCGCTCCGGGAGCACCAAGGCAGCGAATACTTTTGAAATACAGCTGATTTGACCATTAAAAGTCCTTTTATTAAGCAAACGTTAGACTGAGACACACCTTTACTATAAAGTCGAGCAAACACATAATTGTTTTTAGGTGGTTATCTTGTTAAATTTTGAAGAAACGCACAGCAACTCGTCCCTTTCCTACTTCCGCGTATCGGATTTTGAAATGCAGATGATTTGACCATTAAAGTGCATTTATTAAGGAAACGTTAGACTGAGACACACCTTTACTATAAAGTTGAGCAAACAAATAATTGTTTTTAGATGTTTATCTTGTTAAATTCTTGTTAAAAGTCCTCCCGTGCATGCTCCCATGGCCACCATTTGGCAGCCAATAGATTTTTGGCACAACACCGGCCCACCTTTACGGGTTTGGCCCACATTTTTGGGTCGTCAGCAGTGACGCATAACAAACGCGACACGTCATCGGTGACGCATAATAAATGTGACGTATACGGCAAAGCGACATATTTATGGATTTTTTTCCACTTTATTAGACATATTTGGACTGATTCTACTTATAGGGCGAAGCGACGTTTACGGCAGAAAATATGGTACCCTAATTAATCCATTATCTTTAACCGCTTCTTCCTTTTTGAGTTGCGGGGATCACTGGTGCCCATATCCAGCTATCACTGTGTGAGGGGAGGGACACCCAGGATGGGACTCCAGTCCATCACACGGACACATGGAGACAAACAACCATTCCCTCTCTCACTCACACCTAGGGACAATTTAGAGTTACCAATCAGTCTAACATGCATGTTTTTGGTCTGTGGGAGGAAACTGGAGTACCTGGAGAAAACCACACATGCACGGAGAGAACATGCAAACTCACCCAGTAAGGTCCCGGGCCGGAATTTGAACCAGCGACCTTCTTACCAAGAGGCAACAGCTCTACCAACTTCACCATCGTGTCAGCTCAAACTAAAGCTTACACTGGCCTTTATGTGTAGAGTAATATTCAAATTTAAACGTTTACAGAATCTACAAAAAATGTTAAGTCGTAAAAATATTCTGTAATTCAAACTTTATCTGCTGTGCCTCAAATAAAAAAAATGAATCAACTATCAAAACAAATAAATGAAAAGAATAAAAAGTTTTTTTGTCCCCCCCCCCCCAATTTCTGACATTTTTGAGGTATACCTACCCGGGTCATGACCTGAATGGTGACATAGTGCAGTACTGCTCCGAGCAGCACGGCTACAAAGTTGGCATTCTCTTGCAAAAACTTCCACTCGCTATCAAACATTAAGGGAGCAGCCACCACTCGAAACACCACAATAACATGAGTGAGACCGATGATCACCATCAGCTGCAACACAACAAAAACATCTGCATGAGGTGGAAGTACATTTATCAATGATCACTTGCTGCAATATTATTAAAGGATTGTGCACAATTTATTCTGCATGTGGCCATTAGAGTACCTTGAGTTTGTCATGTAATATAATTTATAAACGCAAGTGAAAAAACAGTATTTCAGTGAATTAGTGTTGTAGACTATCTGTATAGAAGGATCAGTAGGATGTGTGGTTGGGCTGTTAGTTTACTACATATACAGTTGTCTTAAGAGTTAAAAAAAATGTCTCTGCAACTACATCCTGTTTAACGTGCTTTCATAGGTTTTGCTGTAAACTCCACAGGGCAGATGTGGGTGTGAGGATTATTGCTACAGGTATGTTGAAGAAGGCCCAGTCGTGATAGAAACAATTTGTCACTAAACCTAGGAATGAGTTAACAGGATTCTATCAGCGGCACCGGATTCATTTTTGAGGTGGGGGGGCCGTGGGGGTCTTTCGTCACCATGCACTCTCTGTTCATACGCACCTTGAATGTCAGGCGCACAAGTTCAATTTTGCCACACAGATTTGGAAAAGTTTGCAACAAAAGTCTTTCTTTTGAAAAAATGAAAAAAAAAAAAAACTGCAGTTATGAACAAGTTGTTCTTTTCTCACAGTGTAGATATTTATTTGTTTATCAATAGTAAAGTGTGTTAGGAATGAAAGGAATAGCATCTCTTTTGTTCGTCACCCAAGAAACATTGGATCAACAGTTCGGGCTCCATCTTTACACGAATCTTTTACGCACGGAGCGTGTTGGAGAGCCTCGGCCCGTCCTGGGGCCTGCTGGACCTGTTGGACCCGGACTGCTTTATCATTTTATCTGGCGACATAAAAAGTAAAACGACAATTCGAGCATGCGCAGTGGGAGACCTGATCAGAGTTCAGAGAAAGGAGATGCCTCGGGGTTCTGGTTTGATGGGGCAGCTGCAAGTTCTGATCTCTGATTAAAGTGGTTTGGACTGATCTGCATCCTTCAATATTTCTCTGGACTTTAGTGCAACAAGTTGGACTGAAACAACATTCAGTGTTGACAAAATATTTCTCTACGTTTTTCTTTTCTTTTTAGTGTACGAGCAGCAGCAGCAGCTTTTCATGAGCAGCAGCTTTTCATGAGCAGCAGCTTTTCATGAGCAGCAGCTTTTCATGAGCAGCAGCTTTTCATGAGCAGCAGCTTTTCATGAGCAGCAGCTTTTCATGAGCAGCAGCTTTTCATGAGCAGCAGCTCCAAACCAACAGACGTGGAGAACTTTACTTTTATTTTTGGTTCTGAGTTCCTGAAAGGATCCAGATGTATCAGAGCCTGAGTCTGTCCTCCTCCCAGCCCCACTACCCCCATGACAGGGAGCTACCCCCCCCCCCCCCCCCCGCCAGCTCCCTGGTTTACGTCCCCCACCACCAGAGTCCCCGCCATGCTACCCACCCTGCCCTACCTCCAGACCTACGAGCGCCCCCCCATCAGATCCACGGTCTGAGCGCACCCCCACCCCCCCCACCCCCACCATCAGAACCATGGTCTGAGACCAGCTGACAGGCAGGGCTGTAAAGTGTGTGTGTGGGGGTGTGGGGGGGGGGGGGGGGGGGGCTGGCCCCCTTGTTCCGGCACCGCTGCTTCTAATTCTGGTTTCACCAAGTCTGAGGGTTTTTAAAACCAAGAACTTTCAGGAATGTAAGGCATGAAATGGATTTTTGTTATTGGGTCCACACTGTGCCAGTTATAGTTCTTATAAAAGAGCACATAGCATGGTGTGTGTGTGTGTGTGTGTGATGTTTGTCTTACCATGACCGTTACCATGATGAGGACCAGAGTGCTACGCCAATAACTGTGTTCATACTCTTTGGCTTTACATTCTGAATTATTGACTATTTCCATGATCAGTTCCTCCTGTGAAAACAAACACACACAAGCAGTGAAAAAACTAAACACGATGAAGTGAATTTCTGTGGTCACTGATGACAGTAAATGAAATGAACAAAAATAATTACAAATCTTTTTTAAGTATAATAACCAGTCATTATGATCTCAAATTAGCTATTTTTTAAACAATCTGACTAATTTCAGCCGCCCTTCAGGTCCAGGCCTCCCTTGCAAAAGAGATCTGTGATCTCAATGGGATTTGCCTGGAAATAAAAGTTAATAAACAAATAAGTAAATAAATAAATAAATAAATAAATAAGAAAAGGTCAGCCAAAGTAGACAGGGCTTCAAACGAAGCATTCATGAAGCATTATTTATCATATAAAGTATATTTTAAGGTAAATGAAACCAGCCAAGGGAACCAAATAATTTTTCTACTCTCGATTCAAATCTGTTTAATATTTAGAACAGTTTTGTTGTACCAAACTACCAGATGACAAATAAAACTAGATAACTTTTAGAACTACATAAAGTTGATTGTGTTCAAAGCTAAGAGACTCAGACTCCGAGGTCAGCAAGTTTGACAGAAAACCGTACCTCTTCCTCACACCAGTCATAGACCTTCCAGTGACTCACATATCTGGCTCTGTGTCTCTTCCACAGTTCCAGGAATAGTGTGGCTGAAAAATACAAACAATTAATCCACATCATCAGCTTGTAATCCACCAAGCGGATTAAATAAAACACTCACCCCAGATTGCCATGAACATGGCAAAAGCCACAGTGCCCTCATTGTCAAATAGATGGCTGACCTGTACGGGGGGGGGAGACATCAAGTGTTACTGATGAACAATGGGAAATTAAAAAATAAATAAAACACCAAGCACAGCAGAATATACTGTATGCTTGTGTCTACAAGCTTGGCTTGTTTCCTTAAAATGTATTCACGTTTTCATTTTTCATGATACATTCCACTATTCAAAAACAGGACATAGATCATGAAGTTCACCTTAGCATAGGTGCAGGTGTCTGAAAGTTGCCATACGTGGCACCTCTTATCACAGCGAGGACACATGGTGATGTTGGAGTCACACACCTCATGACTGTCAGCACACACACCAAGATGACAACATTTAATGTAAATGTTCAGTTCTATTGATATTTTAGTGTTATTCTTGTATAAAAAGCCATAAATGTATCTTACAGTTTATCTGCGAGTTAATTCAACATATTCAGAGTCAGTAAAGATTTTACGAATACGAATATTTACTGTACACACTTCATAAATAATGCTTCTAGATTATTTTAATGCCTGAATATGCCCGACTCACATGAGAGGACTGGTGTTGAAAAAGGCGAGTGCATAGAGAAAGACTACAACACCCAGAGCTGCAGCTGGAATCAGCAGTGTAGTGTACCAGCCCAGCCACAGGTAGTACAGCGCCACCTTCTCCCCAAAGTACCTCCTGCAGGAAGAAAGAAAACGTAACCACAAAACCATCTATTAGGTCTATCGTGCTGAGCTGCGTTTCACTGTGGAGTCTTTGTCATCATTTAGCTAGAACAGAATTTTAAACCAACTATTGCACTATGTACTTGTTTAATACTTAACTATAAAAAATAGAATAAAACAAAAAAAAAAACATACTAAGTTTGGTTAGCCTTTCAGTTTGAAGTGACCCAAGGACAGACAAGTGTATTAAAAATAATAATAATTAAAAAAAAAATTCACAGCTTGTTTATTTCAGTTTAAAATAAAGCAATGATGTGATCACAAACATTTTTAAGGCTTCCTGGTTTGGCTTTCTTAAAATTTAGTGTGAGCCAATAGAAAAACTGAATTTTAACAATTTCCAAAACGATCAAGTAAGTAAATCATGAAGGGTGGTAGAACGTTTTCTACTGTACAATAGTGACAAATATAGAAAAGAAAAATAAATAATTAAACTGACCTGATCTCGTCAAATGGTTGCAATGAAAAAAGAGCCGACCACCGAGCCCAATGTTTTTGTAGCTTCACTTGGTCTTTTCCCTGAGAATCATGAGGGAAAACGAAGTTTCATCAGGGTTTTACTGTGACCTGGTCTTCAAACAGTCAATGCTAGAGCAACGCTGATCCACAGAGCTAAAAATGTGTTTATGTTGAAGGCTTCTCATTTCATTCCAGCACATTTATTCCTATACTTATTTATCTGTGTTTGAATGGGCAGAAAAACCAGACTAAGGGGAAAGAAGCAGTAAAAATGGGATGCAAGTGTATTCATCCCTCTTTATATACTTCACTGCCTTAAACATGGAATTGAAATGGATTTTAATTTACTTAAAAGCAATAGATCTACAAAAATACTTTGATAAAAAATTTAATTAAGAAAAAACATAAAAAATATACTTAGAAATTTTTAACTGAAAAAAGGCACATTTGTTTTTTTTTTATTTAGCTCTGAAACACCCATGGAGAGAGATTGGGATAACAGAGCCCTGACAAGCCAGCAGGTTTATGACACCCTCGCTGAGGGAACAGCTTGGGTGATACCATGGACTGTCACACCCAAGATGTAAAACACGTGACTGCATTAGGAGAGGTCCAGTTGACAACAGAAAATATATATTTCTTGGATGCCCTTTAGCTTTGATTATTACACACATTCACGGTGGCATCTTTTCCACAAGCTTCAGCAATGTCACAACATTTATTTCTGTCTAGAGTTGCTTTAATTTTTTCGCCAAGATCTTGTAATGACGGGAGATTTGGACCACTGTGCAGAGTCTTCTTCAGCACATCCGAAAGATTCTCAATGGGGTTCAGGTCTGGACTCTGCAGTGGTCAATACATGTGTGAAAATGATGTTTCATTCTCCTTGAACCACTCACAATTTGAGCCTGATGGATCCTGGTGTTGTCATCCTGGAACATGGCCGTGCCATCAGGGAAGAGAAAATCCATTGATGGAATAATCTGGTCATTCATTATATTCAGGTAGTCAGCGGACATTCTTTGGGCACATAGAGTTGCTGAACCTAGACCAGACCAACTGCAGCAACGTCAGATCATAGCACTGCCCCCACAGGCCTGTACGGTTGGCACTAGACATGATGGGTGCATCACTTCAGCTGCCTCTCTTCTTACCCTGATGCTCACTCCCCACTGTCTTTCTAGCATACCAATAATGCGTTGGACAATTCTTAATACCATTTTTGTAGTTTCGGCAATCTCCTTACATATTTTTTCTGCTTGATGCATGCCAATAAGACGACCATTCGGAAACAGATGAACATCTTTTCCACAACCACAGGATGTGTCTTTCAACATGGTCGACTAACAAATGAGAAGCTAACACTGAATTAGTTGGGATTCAATAACTGAGGACAGTGTGTCTCGGGAGGGGGAAAGATCAATGCTGACTCTGTCAACGTGGTTACAAATCTGTTACAGAACCTCTGGGTGTGGGCCCCATTCCGTCACAAGAGGAGGATGTCGTGAGAATGCATCTGCTCTGTGTTTTTAGACCCCCAGGACAAGCACTGCTCTGAGAGACAGTAGCCGCATGCTGCATCACTGCAACTGCATGTGCATCAGGCAAAAACAGGGTAATAAATGTAGACTCTTTGTTTGTTCATGTGAATGACCAGTGTGCACAAATACAAGTTGATGGGACATCAGACCCATCACACCCTTTTTTAGTAGTAAGTGGATCTCCTCTCTCTGTACTGGAGCTGCTCCAGTTGTGCTTTTGTCGAAGTGGCATCTCTGAGCAGTAGAGGTGGCTTAATAAATTGCAACCTTCAGGTAGCCATGGACTACAGTTCCAATAATCCTTTGGGACCGTGAACATTGTGCCATGCCCTAGTTTTTGAAGCAAGCCTGTATGTCATGTTCATTTGTGGGACCAAAATGCTTTTTGTTTGGAGGTTGGGGCTTCATGCATGTGGTGGAAAATGTGAACCTGTCTGCATGTTCGGCCTCCTGGTTATGTAGCACTTGTGTGGAAATAGACGTCTTCAGGTTGGTTTTGCAAAGGGGCGATCACAATACTTGTGTAGTTCTGAACAAAAGGGAACTCAGTACTTTGTAGAGCCACATTTTGCAGCCGTTACAGCAGCGTGTATTCTCAGGTACATCTCCGCAAGCTTGGCACATGTAGTCACTGAAACGTTTGTCTAGTTTTCATGACCAAACTGCTCCAGGTCCTTTGACTGGGATTAGCAATGCTGGTGCCCAACACAGATTTCCAGATGGATTAAGGTCTGGACATTGACGGGGTCATTCCAGGACATTTGCCGGTAATAGGTTAATTAAAACTAGAGTGCTGCTTCAGGTGTGCATTTAGGGTCATTGTCCTTCTACAAAGTGAACTTCCATCATGGTCTTAAATATATGAAAGATTTAAAAATTAAAAATCTCAAGGATATCTGTATTTTGTCATCCATCTTTCCTTCAACTCTGACCAGTTTCTCAGTCTCTGCTGTGGAAAACCATGCCCACAGTATGATACTGCCACCACCATGATTAACTGTATGGATGGTGTTCTCAGCTTGATGAGAGGAATAGATTTATCTCTGAAACTGTGTTGTATTTGATGGCCTCAAAGTTTTAGTTTGATCTCATCTGACCACAGCACATTATTTGACATGTTTGGGGAAAATATTTAAAGCATTTCAATATTTTTTATTCTTTTATTAACTCTCTCAAGAAGCCCAGCTCTATGCAGTGTGTAGCTTCTAATTAAGGTTCCACTTACAGAAGGAAAGAGTGGATTTGAGTCCACCAGTTAAGACTTAGACCCTCCCAAAAGAGGAAGAAAAAAATGGCTGGGAGGGTTGACTTTTTGTATTCTATATTACAAGTAATAATACATTTTATATGTTGTTTCTCATATGTACACAAGAACACATTAGATAATAGACTTCTCTAAAGTAAACTGTTACCAACTCAACATTGCTGTTATACAAGCTTCTGCCTGCTGAACCTCCTGTCTCGACTCCCTGTCTAAACGTAATAGTAGCTCAAGTCAAACAGAGTCAGCCATGAGTAAATAGTCTAATTATTGCTCTTTACAGTTTTCCTGTTGGGGTTTGGAACTATATTGTGAAACATATCTGACAGTGAGTGAAAGCTTTTATAACCTTAGTCTTAAATTACAGTTTAGCTGAGTATTGTCGACATTAGCAAAAACTAAGTAGTTTACTTTCTGAACATTTCTGAACTAGTGTCAGGACTTCATTCGAAATGTAAAAAGACATTCACAATGCACAAGCAACAATTACAGCCTTACTTATTATCAAAACCTCATTTTAGTGCAATAGCTGCACCAACATATAGCTGGAAAAATTTTTAAACAATAAAATAAAAAATTAAATACTACAACAGTTATATCTGCATTAAAGGGGACTGCCTTCATGTGGGAAAATAGTTGACCCAATCAACCCAATGTCACCTTTTCTAACAGAAGTATTATGAAAACAATTTTTTTCCACCATTTAACTTTATTAATCTAGAGTATTTAGGGAAAATATTACCTTTAAATCAAATTTAAAATCCATTTAAATTTCATATAAGGCAGCAAAATCCAAAAAACATACTAATAGGGTTGAATACTTTTACAGACTATTATTAAAAGGTGCTCACCTCATGAAGACAGAACATGGTTTCAAACACACCCTTTTTTAACAAGTCCTTCAGGCTCTCTGGAAACAAAAAGCATGTACACATAAAAGATGTGTATAAATAAAAATAGACAACATTTAATTACAATTCATTAATGTTTTTATGGTTTATGTTCGGTATGACATACTTCATTACAAATAATACAATTATTATGATAATTATAATTAAACCTTCCTAAACTAATCCCACTCACCTTTTTTGCTGAATGTATGATGGAGAATGAAATTAACAATACGAATCCTGTGGGGAACAGTAAAGGTTAGAGTAGTATTAATGTAGAGACCATGGAACAAGTTTATATCCCCATCTGACTGAGATAATGACATCAGACCTGCAGACATTTGAAGACTTCAAAACCCCTGTCCAAGATGTGTTTGTATCGTAACAGAGGGACTGTCATAATTTCGCTTAATAACAAAGATTAAAGTTACTTTACAACACAATCCTGAATGAATAAAAACACATTTTAAAAGGGGAAATATTGTCTATTATTCTGTTTGTTCGTACAAATCCATGTTCAACAGATAAAACAGGCGAGAGCTGGAGAATTATGTCAAAAGTTTAAGTGAACTATGAAAAACTATGTTTGGGTCACAGAGGCAACAGGTCCAGCCCAAACATTCATCTCTCCAGCTAAACTTAACACTGCCAAGGAGATCTCAAAGCATTCCAGACCAGAGAGGATCGATTTGTTCTGCATCAGGGTCTCAAAGAGTGATGTGCCCAGGAGACATCCCAATCAGACGCCTGAAACACCTTCAGTCCCTCCTATACGAGAAGGAGCAGTGGCTCTATGCTGTACTTCCCCCAAATGCCAGAGCTCCCAACCCAACCTCAAGGCTGAGCCGGGCCCCCCCTAGAGGAAGCCTACCAGTATTTCAGATGTTTGCATGTGTATGTCATTCTTTTGGTTATGATCCATACCTCATGACTATATATGTGGGCTGGAACAGACAGTAGAAAATGAAGAGCTTTGCTTTTGACCCAGCTCTTTCTTTAATACAACTTATTGGTGAAACGACGTCATTAATGCGATCGAGGCATAACGTTGATTCCTCTCTCCCAACAGGCCTGGTGACTGAGCTTTGACTCTAAGGGTTTGTAAAGGCCAAGCCTAAAAACAGGAACAGAAAGCAACATTCTCATGGACCCAGGACTTGTGGGGAGAGTCGTCAAGATCAGGGGCCTCAAGAATAAAAGAGGATGGAACTTTCATTCTAAAAGTTGGGGTGGGGATAACACCTAAATACTGCATACACTAAAAATATTTAAATTAATCAAATCCTGTGCAGTCACTTTTTTGTGCAACTTTCCTTCATACATCTCAAAGAAGGTGGAACTGGGAGTACATTAGACACCTCCTCTGACACGACCCCCATTTAAAAATGTAAATGGTGTAAATATGTCTTGCATGTTTAATTCCCACTCGGTACGATCAAAAATTAGATCTAGATGCAGGAAAATTAGGACTCTCATATAATGCGAGTAAAAGACGCTTCTTAAGAAGATGAGGGATGTAAAAATGTATTTGGCACGTGTGCAAAGAGTGCAGTTGTCAGAGCAGCACACTAACAGCAGTAAGAAAAAGGTTAAATGGTCAGACAAAAAAGTGGGAGTGAAAGGAAGGACATCCCCATCATTTCTTTTCCAATATTTTTAGACACCACTTACTGCATGTGCAATATACAAGAAGGAGTTCTCTGTAGACCAAAAGTGGGCATTTCTAGAGGGCAAACACTGATTGGCTAGCTATATTTTCTGGCTCTTTAGTTGTTACGTCAGCTTTTTTTTTTTTTTTTTAACTGAAGGTTTCTAAGAACCAGCGTTTACTGTCAAACACAAGAAGATTCTCTTTAGTCCTTGGGTTGTAGCTGCACCTGACACAGGTTGGCTTGAGTGTGGTCTGGGTACAATGAAATATGAAACATCTGAAGTGAAACCTGCTCCTATTAGTCAAAAAGTCTGGTCGCAATTAAAGATCATGAGTCCTGTGACGAGATAATGGCCCAAAACAAACTCCAAAAACAAAATTAGCTCTTTAGAAGTTCTTCTATGAGATCTGATCTATGAAAGGAGCTGAAACATGGAGTAGGATTGACCCTTAAAATGTGAGACAGCTGAGGAAGTTAACCAGTAAACAGAAATATCTGCTCCAGTTGCAGAAATCTGACAGAAACTGACAATCACTCATCTGCAGTGACTGTTTTAAAAGGTTGAACAAGACAATGTGAAGTTAAAGAAAACATTCTTTGTCCCAAAGCCAGTTTAAGTATCATTAATATTTTGGTTACTTCATTTTTCTTTATTTATGAATTCATTAACTTTCTTCACATTATTCAACAAACAAAACACATTTTGTTTTTTAATGTAATGGGGAGGTATTAAAAAACAAACATTAGGCCTTCCCACTACCCATTTATGTTGCTCTCATTTTGAAATGTAGCCAGAAGTTATGTGTTAAGAGAGGCGGAAAGAGTAGGTATGGAGACGCTGCCAATGTCGAACCGGTTAACACCATAGACATAATATGTCTGTGGTTAACATGAACGCCTTTTTTTGTCCAGCCTTTTTTTTGTCCAATCAGATGTAGCTCTCCAGATACACCTTCCGTATTTGTCTGCAGAGATACCTATTTGGAACATACACTGAAATACACTGAAATACACTCTTTCAGCTTTAAACCAAACTGAAGTAACTGATGACAAGACATCGTGTTCAAATGACCCCAGGTTCAAAAACCTAATTGAGTCACATTTTTGTGTATTTAGGTAATTTTCAGTATTTTGAAGTTTGATACTGTTGACTGAAAAGGTTTGTATGATGGTACGCACATTTTCAGATCAAAAGTTTGCATACACACACATTTTCACTCAACTTTTGTTTTGCTACATCAAGACGTGAGTGGAACATGGAGGAAGCAAGCTTTCTGTGTATGCACACCGTTGACACGAGGCCCCAGGTGTTTCAACAGCCAGTGGTGGCAGGTGAAGGCAGCGCTCTAGGCACATTCTTGTCCGCTTAAACTGGTTCAAGGGAAAAGTGTGGGTTTAACATGAAAAACTAACTCAAAACAGGAATGACATTAATACTCAAAGACGTGTAACTGAACATAAAAAATGGCAGTAGATTGAGATCAGCTTCCATCATCCTGCAACAGATTCAGTGCGATGCCTCCGAACAGCAGGCAGGACGTATTCACGGTTTAAAGTTCAACGACCTTTAGGCTTTCAAATATGCTCGACCTTAGTTGTGGATGTTACAATTTAGGTATCGTTATAGCTTTTATGCATGAATGTTTATAATTTGTAACCTATTAAAACTTGAAATACAACTACTTCTTTACAATTTAATGGGACACAGAAACACTTTGAAAAGTGTTGCTGCTTATAAACTGCTTTATTCCTGATTAGGGTCACAGGCGAGTGACAAACTGCTCTGATCACCATTCTGTCCCCAGAGGTCCCAAACCCTGATCCTCTGCATGTTTCAGATATTTCCCTCCTTCAACACACATGGCTGAAATGAATGAATCCTTGACTGGCTTCTGCTGTACTTGAGGTCATTCTGAGTAAACTAACATTTAAATCAGATGTGTGAAGAAAGGAAACAGCTAAAGCATCCAGTACAGAGGGCCATGAAGTCCAGGGTTGGGGACCTTTGCTCTTGACTCAATAGCAGTAGAGTCAGTTCAGTGACCCTGAACTGGATCAAGTGAGTATTAAAAATGGATCAAAGTTTTTAAACTGTGGAAGGAAACCAGAAGATCTGGGGAAATCCACACTTGTACAAGAAAATGCAAATGCCACAAAACCCCTGCTGACTTTTAAACCCAGGACGATCTTGCTGTAGGAAGACAGCACTAACCACTGTTCCATCGTTCCACGTAATCCTCAAAGACCCCACTCCATACTCTAAAAGGGCCAAAGGATGGTTTACTAATGTTCTAATACCAAATTATACCAAACATTTACAAATGTCCCGACTTGTTAGTGATTCTAGCAAGATTTGATCAGTATGCTAATAAATAGCTAATTGTCATGATAGCAGATTAGCAAATGGTCCATCAATTGTTGGACACTTACTTTTACAGTGAGGATGAAAGAAGGATGTATTGAGGATAAAATTTCACAGTAATGTTATCTATGTGCAAGTATGGCTACAAAATGGAACAGAGCACCACCAGAGATAGCTAAATATACCTTGAAGTATTTTACAGTAAACAGAACTTTATTCTGCCTTTCTATCGATCTTAGCAACACAGCATTAAATGATTCAATACTATTAATAGTGTTTCCTCTTATTAGACTACATGCAAACCAGTTTCTTGGAACTTGTAAATCTATTGTTTTAGTCTTCTTAGCAAAACAGGTAAGTCACGTTATGGTCTTGGGATGGATTTGAATTCAGCATAAGACGACATCAAAAGGACCTGTAGTTTGAGATGCCATCGGAAAGAACCAGATAATTTAACGTCATATGGAGCAATTCAGTTAAACATCTAAAGCTTTGAGAACAAGTTTAATGGAGGGAGGACATTTTTGGTATAATGGCTGTTGAAGGGAAGGTATGCTGTCAGGTCTTCTAGGATTACTATGCTAAAAAAAAACATTTTATTAAACAGTTAATTATCAAAAATACAAAAGTCAGAATCCATTTCTGCAGTCACTTTTAAGGCTGTCGTTTCTGCTGTTTAAAGGTTAGTCACATTTTTTCTGAAAGTGTCAAAGCTACAAAGCAGTTTCCTAGAACTACCTTTACAGGTTTCATTAAGGTGTGTGTTATCTACCTGTTAGCCTGGGTGACGACTCCCTTTACTTCTCCACACCAGTTGCAGGAGTCCGAAACTTTGAGCAGATACTGATAATCTTCAAACATCTCAATGGGAGCACGAAGGCCAAAAAATATTTTTTCATCGTGTGTTATTTTCTATTAAGCACAAACACACACACACACTGATGGTTTCTCTTTGTTTCAGGAAATGAACACTGTACAACTTCGCAGCGCTTTGCAGAAACTCACCGTGACTGTGATGTTTTTCCTTTTAAGCTCCAGCATAAAGTCTTTTTGTTTTTGAGAATGTTCCTTGTTATTGTCCTCCTTGTTGGCCACCAGTACAAAGTCAAATGTTTTTTGTGGAGGCTGTTCAAAGACAAAATACCATTATAACCTACAGTTAGATGAAAAACATTTAACAATAAATGTGAATGGAATGACCACAAATTGTAAATTTCTCCAAAGAAAACACATCATGAGTAGTGTTGAAAATGCCAAAGTAAAATTTATCAAACTTCCTGATGTACCTGTTTATTAATATTAAATTACTTACATTAGTAAGTTTATGCTCTATACTCCTGGTAAAAATCCAGCAATGTTCAGTCAGGTCATCTGTACAGTTTCTTTCTTTTTTTTTTTTTTACTTAATTACTTAGAATTCATTTGGTGTGAAAAACAAACAAAAAAAAAAAAAAAAAAAAAATGAGTCCATGAAATGAAAAACTTTTCTCAAAATTTTTTCTTCAGTTTCTCACTCTCTGACAGCAGGTATAAATTCAACATATAAAGTTTTTAAGTAAGTTCTGTACATTTGAAAAAATGTTTTTAAATATACAAAAGCAGATAAAGAAAACAATTACTTGACAAATGGGTGTACTTGATGCAAAATGTGGTTTAGCATTGTATTATTAAAGTATGCAAAGTCTTCCTTCGTAAAGACTTGGGAGCATGTTGTTCTAAAAACCGTACACTTTCCTGTATTGATGGTGATTTTCCAAATGTGCAAACTGTCCATGCAAGAGGAACAAATGCAACCCCATACCATCAGAGAGTCATGGTTTTGAACCATGTGCTGATAAAATAAGATGGAACTTGATTGATCTTGCAGGAAATTGTTGATAGACTGAATGGTTCTTCCATCCCTCTTTAGGACGGAGGACACAGTATTGTAATTTCCAAAACTAATTTCAATTCGTCTGATCACAGAACAGTTTTCCACTTTGCTTCAGTCCATTTTAAATTGGCTTTGACTCAGAGAAAACATTAGCATATCTAGACGGTGTTCACATGGATTCTCTTACATGCTACAGCTTTAATCTGTATGTGGGTGACACAGCAAACTGGGTTTACTGGCAATAATTTATAGAAATGTTCCTGAGCCCATGTACAGGACTTATGTTCATAAAAATATTAGTTCTATTTCGTATAGACTTCGCCCTTTAAGGCTATCGCTAGTGGGTTTATCCCTTCGCGCGCAGCACTGAAAACTTTAGTCCACGCCCACCTGCTGAGTGGGCCTCACCCCCGGTCCGTATAAATTACGGTGTGACCGGGTAATCGGCTCCCCATTTTTTATTCAGCCAGCTAGCTAGCACTGTCAGAAGAGCGAAGAAGGAAAAGATGTCCAGCTTTGACCGGCACAACCTTTGCTAAGGATGCCTGGATCTCCGCCACGCCAACCTCCTGCCATCCCCGTGAGCTCTTCCTCCCCGAGGAGAAGCAGAGACGAGCAACCTTGTTCAAGGTAAGCGCAGAGGAGTGCTTTTCCGTGGCGGGCAGCTACCCGCTGGACGACGCCATCGCCTTTTCTAACGTTTTTTCCTCACGGTGAATCGGATGATTCCCTAGAAAAAGGTGATGTTATCAGCAGCTCCGCTGAGTGTTTTTTCCGTGGCGGGCCGCTACTCGCTGGACAACACCATCGCCTTTTCTAACGTTTTTTCCAAGCGGTGAATCAGATGATTCCCTCGAAAAAAGGTGATGCAGGCAGCAGCTCCGCTGAGTGTTTTTTTCCGTAGCGGGACGGAGAGTCACACAGTGAATCGGATGACTCCTCCGAGAAAGGCGATGCTGGAAACAACCTCGCTGCCCCTTCCCTCCTGGAGAGCATAGTGATGGAAGAGGAGCGGTTGAATGGATGCTCAGCCACCTCGGGTCTTCCCACGTCAGCGACCACACCACTCCCAGCCGTTGGCATCCTCCTCTTGGAGCTGCCCGGCATAATCCAGGAGGCTGCTAACACAAAGGGACTTTCTGTCCCTCGCCTCCCTCCACCCTGATCGGATGATCTGGCGGGAAGGTTTGGCTCCACCCCGGCTCGTCACCCTGATACCAATTGGCCTCGCTGTCCAGCTGTGACGTCACATTGGAACGAGGCTGCAGCTTGGCCCGGCAAGATGAAGATATCCGTCTCCACCTTCGCCTCCCTCTCCAAAGTGGAAAGTTTTTACCGATCAGTGTTTTTTTCCCTCGGTTCTCCCCACTGGAGCCAAGCCTGGTGGAGGCGCTTGGGGCAAAAGCTTCCAGGATGGACTGGCAACCTATCCCTCCAGGAAAGCATGACCAGAGGGTGACAAAGCTCTCCAACCGAGCTCACCAGTGCACATCCTAGGCAGTCGCAGTGAACAACAACATCGCTCTGCTGGCCTACAGCATTTCAAAGAGGCTGGAAGAAGCAGACCTGCTGGAGGAGACAAAGAGCTCTCTCTGTATAGCCGCTGATGTCATCTTAAACATGTGTGCCAACTCTGCGGTCTGCCTGTCCCGCATCGCCACCCGGATGACCATGATCCAGAGGACCACATGGCTCCGCCTCTTGCCATCCTTGTCCGAGAGGCTGCAGAAAGACCTGCTGGAGGGCCCCATCACTCCAGAGGCGTTGTTCGGGGCCAACTTCAGGACCATCCTTGAGAAATCGCAGAGGTCCGAGGAGGTCTCAGAAACTGTACACCATCTGGTGACATCACAGTCCTCCTCTCGCCCCTCCGGCTGCTGGAGGGACCGCCTTGGCCAGAGACAGCAGCAAAGGTGCTCCACAGCAGTTGCAGCGGCTTCACGCTCCGCTCCTCCGCCGGCCCCCTCCACGAGGTAACAGATCCTTGACAGGAATGTATGTGTTTTTTGATGATGTATGTTTTGATATAAAACAGAAATACCTCTGAAATTAAAGTTTTCATCTGAGACTGTCAGATCAGCTGATCTCACAGCTGCCTCTCTTCACATATTCCCCACACAGAACGAGCCAGAAACCTCTAAACAGTGTTTTAAATGGCACCGCAGTTCAGTAAATATCACAAAACACTCGTCAGCCACGTCAGCTAAAATGATGTTTTTTCAGCAGACCGAGTCCGGTAAAATCCCTCGTTTTCAGCCAGAGCCCGTTTTTACTTTCTCCTGTTTTCTGCCCACTCACAGCGTAGCGGAAGTAAACGTGTTTCTCCACGACAGCTGCAGCCTCCACCGAAATGGCGTCTCACTCAGAAAGCGCTCACACCTCCTCTCAGTGAGCGCCAGCTCACCTCAGCTCTAATGTGGGACCACAGCCTGGGCTCAGCACAGAGACACACATACAGCCCTTTTTTCTGTTGGAGCCCCCCTTGGGTTCCCCCCGGAGAATCTCCGGAGCGAGTGTTGGCAGTAAGGCTTTTTAGTCTGGTTGACGTTCATGAGAAGCATGACACAACACAAATGCATGCCCACTCTCCGAGCGTTACTCAGAGTGGCAGCGAGTGTGTTCCCTGGACAAATGGACGGACCATCTGATCAGAAGGGGTTACATGCTGCAGTTCACAGTTCAAACCCCACCGTTTAGAGGGATTATAGAGACGGTTCTGTCTTCTCCAGAACAGAGCTCGTCTCTCCAGTCAGAAGTTCAGGAATTTCTGACGAAAAACGCGATTTCCAGAGTTCCAAACGGAGAGGAAAATACGGGTTTTTTTTCCTCCCACTACTTCCTGGTTCTGATAAAAAAAACCGGAGGGATGAGACCCATTCTCAACCTGTTCATGTTCAGCAATTCGATCATGGGGAGACAATTCTACATGCTGACAAACAGCTGCTGGAGAACTTCACCAGAACGACTGGTTTTCACCTCCATAGATCTGAAGAGCGCATATTTTCACATTTCCATCATTCTGAAACACCCCACGCACGTTCTCGAAATGCATGGAGATGGCTCTGCAGTTGTTATGCATGGCAGGAATGAGAATTCTTTTTATCTGGACAATCTGCTCTTATTAGCTCGGTCCAGTTAGAAAGCAGTCGCACAGACCAAAACGCTAGTGTTACACCTGCTAAACCTGGGGTTTTCTATAAACTGGAAAAAAGTTCAGTTCGTCCGTCCCAGATGATTGTTTATCTGGAAGTGGAGCTAAACTCAACTACAATGAGAGCCCCGTTTATCACAGCTGAGAGCTGAAGCTCTATCAGCTCAGCTCTGCCGTGTCAAACTCTGCAGCATAGTGACAGTTCTACCTGTCATGCGACGCCTGGGACGATGTCAGCGGCCCACATCGTGGTTCCGCTGGGCCTACTTCACATGAGACACCTTCAAAGATGGTTCTCCCGCCTGCGCATAGATCCTGTGCGCCAGAAGAGGCGGACTATCTTTGTGCCCCCTTCCGTGAGGACCAATCTGAATCACTGGGGAAACCCCCTCATTCTGTCGGAGGGCATTCCCATCAGCAGGCCTATGTCACACGTCTCAGTTTTCACAGACACATTCCTGTCAAGCTGGGAGGAATGTGTCTGGCCCAAGCAGTGGGAGCACAGTGGCTGGACCACATGCCGCTTAACATAAATGTGCTAGAATGTTTTCACGGTCTGAAACATGACTCAGCATTTTGCCCCCTGCTGCGGGATCAGCATGTTCTGATCCACACAGACAACAAAGTGACGGCAGCTTACATAAACCATTAGGGAGGCGTGCGCTCAGCCTAACTGTTACGCATTGCAAAACAGCTGTTGTGTTGGGCACACAAAAACCTGCTCTCCATCAAAGCAGTGTACATTCCTAGCGTCCTGAACAGGGGAGCGGATATCATGTCGAGGGGCGGTCCCCGCCACAGAGACTGGAGCCCCCATCCCGAGCTGATCTCTCGGATTTGGAGCAGGATTGGCTGAGCAGCAGTGGATCTGTCCGTCGCATGGGAGAACGCCCAGTGTCATTTATGGTTCTCACTGAGCCCACGAGACGACCCACTGTTAGGATTGGATGCCTTCGCTCACAGCCCATGGCCAAAAATGCTCCTTTATGTGCTTACATCAAAATGGACAGCTTTTAAGCACTGGGGCACGGAGAAAGGTGTAGAGGCCATCTCATGTCCACTAGGTAGCATGCCGTCCTTTCTGTAGCAGCTGATGGACAGAAATCTAGCGTTCAGCACAATTAAGACTTATGCTGCAGATATTTCTTCCTGTCACAAGTGCTTCGGTGACAGAACAGTTTTTAATCACCCATTGATGAAGCATTTCCTGAAAGGTGTATCAAGACACAGACCGGTGTCACGTCCAATAGCTCCACAGTGAAACCTAATGATGGTCCTGCACACTCTGACCAAAGCTCCTTCTGAGCCTTTAGATCAGGTTTTACTTAAATGTCTGTCATTTAAAACAGCCCTGCTGTTAGCTCTGACATTGACACAGAAAGTGAGTGATTATCTGCTCTCTCTATTGCTCCCTCATGTCTCAGAATTCAAGCTAACGGCAGTTCAGCTGTACTGCATTTTAACCCTGCTTTGAAAAGCATCACAAGTTCATTCAGATCAAGAGTGATAACTTGGATGGGTTTTATCCTCTTCCTCATAATTCTGAGGAGGAAGCAGCATCTCACCTCCTTCTGTCCCATGCGTACATTTTCATGTTACGTGGCACACATGGCCGCACTGCGCCGCTTTCAGCGTATGTTTGTGCATCACTGGGACAGCTCTTCAGGACGTCCTCTATCCACCCAGCGCCTCTCACACTGGTTGTGTGAGGCTATTTCTGAAGTTTACAGTTCATCTGGACCGGATCCTCCAGAGAATCTCAGCGCATTCCACCAGAGGGTTTTCATCCTCCATGGCTCTGCATGGAAGGATGACAGTGGAAGATATTTGTATGGCGGCTGCCTGGTCATCACCATGTTCAATTATTCGTTTTTATCTACGTGATGTTTCTACTTTCTCCATGACCCAATCTGTTCTCAGGGTTCTGACAGAATGATGATCTTTGTTTCATGGAGCCTCACTTTGGAGCTCACACCTGCCTGCATGCAGTCGCAGTGTGAGTAATTATGCACACAGAAGGCTGAGTGATTAAATGATTTTTTGTGCAAGCAAGTGCTTCATGTTGAGTCTGAATGGACCCAGTGAGGCATAGACTACATCCTGCTTTGCCTTTAACCCACTAGCGATAGCCTTAAAGGGCGAAGCCTATACGAAATAGAATGTTGGTTACGTACTGTAACCCCAGACTCTATGAGTATAGGCGCAGCCCTTTAAACTCTGGGCCTCAATGGTTCCTAAATGGCTGAAGAAAAAAGCTATTTGGGAGCCGATTACCCAGTCTCACCGTAAATTATACGGACCGGGGGTGGGGCCCATACAGCAGGTGGGCGTGGACTAAAGTTTTCATTGCTGCGCTGCGCATGAAGGGATAAACCCACTATCAATAGCCTTAAAGGGCTGTGCCTATACTCATAGAATCTGGGGTTACAGTACATAACCAACGACTTGTTTTTATTGTAGTGCAGCTGCAATACAAGCAGGGCTTAATTTGTAAACTGATTGATGCCGGAACACAAATAGTGGGCGGGCCTGTGGGGGGAGAAGGGGTACGTGGGGGGTTAGCGGGGGAAGTGGAGGGAGCTTGTGTGTCCTCCTCCCCCTTAATTTTTTGAACAAAGTAGATGCTCTTTCCTGTATTTTGGTGCAGCCCATTTTAACGGGCTGTTAAACATCTACGTTTACCTACATTTGTAAACACTTGATTCAATAACTATTTTAGGAGCAACAACAGGTTGTGTGTGAACAAAGCAGCTCCGATTCTGTCAAACGTCACCCCTCACACACACTTCATGTTTCTGAGTGATCACCACTGCCTTCTCGGTTGTCCAACTAAGGACAAACAATCCATCCATTTATTTTATGAAAGTAAACTGGACGGTCTTTTTGACATTTTGATCGCTGTTATTTTGACAAATTAGCGCAGTTGTTTTGATATGTGATTAATGTGAATAATACACATCAAACATTTCTCTCATATTTTTTTTAACCGTAGCTAAGCTTTTTTATTTAGTATGTCTGAAATGTATGCGTGAGTTCACATCAGCAGTTGTGCACACTCTGTAGAGCTGTCTGGAGACACTCCTGTGTGGCAAGACAAGTGGCCTATTAATAGCCACATTTACCACGTCTGGCTATTAATGGGCCACTTGACTTGCCATATAGAGGAAGACACTTCATCCCCGCGGGACATGCCGTCTGCGTCTCGCTGGGCAGGAGTGTGTGCACGAGCTGGTGTGCCATGCTGCAGCCATAATATTCACTCCACAAACTGAGCAACGTCTCCTTTCGTATTTGTAATAAATAATCAGAATAAAAATGCGCAATGACTTTTGACTTTTAGGGGCTGAGATTTGAGTTGCCGGATCTGAGCAAACAGTTGCCGGAACACACCCGGTCAAAATGTAGAAGTTCCCGGATCTTGTTCTGGCAGGATCCAGCTCAAATAAAGCAGATTACAAGCATCCAACATTCATTTTAAGTTTCATCATTTGTACGGCAATTTCTCCTGATTCTTGACATCTGGTGATGAAGATGAAGGAATATTCAAGTGTTCCCAATCCTTTGTTGAGGATAATTGTCTGACATTGTTCCATTGTTTTTATAGACTCCCTTTTGCAGGCAAGCAAACCTCTGCCCATCTTTACTTCTGAGAGATTCGGGCTCTCTTAAATGGTTTTTGCAGTCCTCTTATTGTCGTTTTGCCTATTCACCTAATTAGCTGCAAAATGTTCAGTTGTTTGTCATTCATACAACCTACTTTTACACTCTTGCACTGTCTCCACTTTTTGGCATGTGCTAGTTTAAGGGGAAAAAAAATGAAGAAGATTTGAAAATATTATATTTCATTTTTATTTACATTGTACAAAATATCCCAGCCTTTTTGGAATTGGAGATATATTATGGTTGAGACATTTTACTCTGCAACATCAGCACAATCTATGGAAGCAGAATTTGGAGAAATAAAAAAAAATGAAAACAGGAACAAATACATAAACCTGTAAAAGCAGAACCTCAAGTTGCAGGTTGTTTATCCTTGTTTTCAGTTAATTTATGTGCTGACAGAACTGTGAATATTTCTGCTGGTCACCACTAAAGAATGAAGCCACATTGCTACTTTCGTTGCTCATATTCCAGACAAAAACAATAATGAAATAAAGCAGCATTTAAAGTTTGTATACAGAAGTATTGAATCTATTGAAAAGTGATGGTTGGTACTGAAGCCAAATTAAATCAAACTAGCATCCAAAGTTTTGAACTGTCATGCGTAATCTGTTAGGGATCAGAATATGTGTTGGAGATGATTCAGCCATCGCCCCACAAAACTTCAAGAAGCTACAAAAAAGCTCAGCATCTGTAAAAATGACAGTTATACAGAATTTAATCCTGATTAAAGTTTAATTTAGAGCAGGTAATTGAGACCTGATCACAAGCAGTCATTTAAAACAGGTAGGGATGTATGCTATACAGTAGTCAGGTGTGAACTGCTGTCCTCGTGTGATCTGGTCACCATGAACTCCTGATAGTGCAGTTCAGCTCTGTCTACCCGTTTCTAACTGAGCAGTCAGTCTGCTCCAGTAAACATAGTAAATGAAAAGCAAAGTGAAGCGTTACTCATTGACCTCCTTGCGTGCAGGCTCTCAGACACCTGCACGCCTCACAACTGCATTACATGCTGTATCTTGTTAACCGTGACCTGACCCACTCATCCAGTGAGCAAGCTGGATTGTGTCCAAACCAACAGGTTCAGGATATTGCACCTGTTTTCATACCATTCTGCAGAGAAAAACGTGCTCGTCATGATATTTGGTTTATGGAATTTGAAAAACTGCTGGACAGACTATGATGGGAGCACACTGGACAAAACAGCAAAGTTCATTTCCACATTCAGTCATGATATGCATGTATCAGGCAAATGAGGCATGAAACAGAATTACTGTTTAATCCTTAAAAAAGATAAAACTGCATGACTAATGAGACATTTTTATATTGAGAGGTATCTTCCACATTTGCATGTAATATATGAGTCAGTTTACAATTCTCTTCAAAATTTAGGAAAAGTTCAGAAGACATGATAAAGAGACGCTTACCACTGAAAAGCGTGCAGTCTGATAGCTGTGGACATCCTTTTCAATTTCATTCAGCTCAATGTTTTCCTACACACCACCAGAAGAAACACAAAACAGGATAAAAATGCATTTCACCTAACGGGGTCGCATTCAGGTTGTGTTTACAGAGCAGTAAAATGTTATGAAACATGTACAGTCACAAATCATAAAAAGTTGGGACAGTGTATAAAATGTAGAATAAAAAGTATGTAATGATGTGCACATGTCTTAAACTCATACTTGATCGTCAGAGGACTATAACATGTCACTTGTTTAATCTGACATTTTACTAGTTTCACAAAAACTTCTTTGAATTTGACGGCAACAACACATCTCCAAAATTGGGATGGGGCCACAAAAGGCTGGTAAGTGGCAGGAATAATAAACAGATAGAGGAGCAATTTGCTGCTAATAGTGTGAATTATTATGAAGCATTCACACTATTTTGATCCATTTTTCTTTTGTACATTAATTGGACAAAGATATGTTAGAACACTGAATCAATTAAGAGTATTTAAAGAAGGCCGGATCTATAACAAGCAAATTCAATTCATGTTTCAGCTGATTTTAATGCTGTAGCTGGATTTTATCCTACGTGAATGGGGCCTTACAGGAAACAATGCACTGTCAGAGCTCCTGATCTGTCTGGGAGGTCTTATGAACCTTCTTTGAAACTTTTTCTGCATCTCAAAATCGATGATTTAATAAATCACAGCAGAATGTAAGGTCAGAGCTGAGAAGGGGATAAGATGCATCACACAGCGCACACACATAATGGCTGTACTGTTGAAGGTTACTGTAAGCACGTGTAGTTCTTCAAGATTTTATTCAGAAACTATTTCAAAATTCTGATTATAAACGGTCCAGTTCAAGCAAAAAAAAAAAAAAAAAAAAAAAAGCACATCAACTCGGTTACAAAACTAAGCTTATTAAAAAAGTAGAATACATGCAACAGATAAATCTAAACACTGTTAATATGTGTTGATGATTCCCACACCACTAAAAGTATCTGTGACAGTACAGACATGAGTAACCCTGCTGACAGCTACAGCAGGTTAATTTGTATATACAGCAGGTAACTGAGATCTGATAACAAGCGGGCATTCAAAACACAGAGGAATATGTGCCACAGTCAGGTGTGAACAGACTGCTATCCTTTTGTTATCAGGTCACCCTGAACACCTGATACTGCCACATTTGAATAACCTCTCTACTCCCGTTTAATCTAAAGCCCGGCTCAAAACCATGCTGAAGTTTACTTTTTAAGCTGAACTCCACTTATCAAGGTGAACTGCGGCTGACAGTTCAGCTTTATCTACACAGCAAATGAGTCATGAGACAACATTACTGTTTATTCCTGAACACTTAAAGAAGATAAAACTGCATGAATAATAAGGCTCATCTACTTTTTACATGAACAGGTATCGTCTGTGTTTGCATGTCAAAGATGAGCCAGTTTACAGATATTTTATTATTTGTTTAATAAAACGAAAACTCTTACCACTGAAGAAATTAAAGACTGAGAGCAGTGGCTGTCGTCATCCTTTTCTCTCAGCTCAGCGTTGTCCTACACACCAAAAACAAAACAGGATTAAAATACATTTCAGCTAATGGAGTCATTTTCAGGTTGTGTTTACTGAACAGTAAAAGAGTATGAAACATGTACTACCGGTACTTCAAATCCTAAAAAGTTGGGGCATTGTGTAAAATGTAAATAAAACAAGTGATATGTTCATGTCCCCCATCACTAAGAAATTTCAATAGTGAAAGTTTCTATTTTGTATTAATTTGTGTTCAATCCCTAATGTTTTTGGTGGAAGATATTCAAGTAGGTAGGAGCTACACTGTGGATAACATTAGAGGTAGTTTTTGTTGTTGTTGTTTGGCTGTCTGAAGCAGTGCAGAGTGACAGAACCTGGTATGCAGAAGGAGTAATACTATCCACCATCAGGTGCAATGGTGAAGCCAGGGGGTGGCCAATGGTAGCCTTGACAACCACAGATTAATCTTCAGCCACCACACACATATTTATATATATATAGCAAGGACCATCTTGGATTTTGACGTGGCAACCCAATTTTTGATAGTGACCGTTTTTAGTCCTAGATGCAGCCACATACAAAAATGGAAGTCAGCACATTGCCTTTGTTTCCATTATCCAGCTCACAGGATGAATTACGGTAGGTACCTTATTGGGCAATAGGACAATTTCTGGTCCCATGGCAATAGAGTGGGGGATAATGGACATTTAGAAGATAAATTGGAATCATGAACGAGATGTTTCTGTCAAGAATTCTATGGCATTAACTCTGTCTGTGTCACAAAAGCCTGCCCCCAAGAGGTGTGTGTGTTGGGCAGCTATGAGTGCCCACGTGTCTCAAAGGAAAATGTTGTTCAGAAGTAGGAAGTCTGGCAGCCTGTCAAAATAAAATATTTAAATAAAATATTGTATTCTAAAAAAAATACATAAATTAGCCGCTCCTATAAATGGCGGGATTCAAAGCATGAGAAAAAAGTAGCGGCTTATACACAGGCAATTACGGTATTTCTAAGTCCCCTCTTCACTCTATGATGACGTTTTACCATTTTTTACAAAAACAATAGATTCTGAATTTGATAGCAACATTAGGCAACAAAAGGCTGGCAAAATAAGTGGATGAAACATAAACAGCTGAAGGAGCATTTTGAAGCTAATTAGATTAACTGGAAATGGAAAATTAAAAACATTGAGACTCACCGGTCTGAAAAAAAATTGCATTTAAAATATTCAAAAAGCGTTCAATACAAAAATATTTAAATATTTAGAATATTGGAACAATTTCAGAATAGTGTAGAAAATTGGGAAGTTTTTGAATTTTCCAAAGTCTACTGTTCATAATATCAATGGTTTTTAAGAAAATGGAGAATACTCTGTGCAAAGAATAATGTACAGGTTTCTGCAGCCCAGATGTAAAACAAACGGATTGAAAAACTCATTCATCCCTGTAACAATCAGGTTTCTCAATGAACACTAATTTCAATACTGTTACTTTAATGTCTTAATGTCTTGTGTATATATATATGTATGCGTATGTATATATGTGTATTTGTGTATGTGTGTATGTGCATGTGTGTGTATATGTACACATCTACTGACTGTGAAACTAATTGCCCCTCGGGATAATAAAGATACTTGAACTTGAGCTTAAGGCAGAATTTCTATATTATATCCTGGTGGGGGCCATCAAGGCACCTGGGACCACCCTGGAGGAGTTACAGTAGAAGCTTCAGCAGGAGAGATGGGAGAGACTGTGCTTCAGCAACTGTTGCCCAGGCTCAAGACAAAGCCACTGTTGAAGAAAACTCTGAATAAATCTTGACTACAGCTTGTCTAATAAAGAAGGTCAATTTATATTTTAATATATTTCACCTTTGTCCATAAACCATAATACTGTTCCAAACACCTGGCAAACAGCTTTCGTTCTATACTGAAAGAAGGAGACCCGAACTGAACAACTATCTAATCTCTAAATTCTATATTTTATCTAAGATTTTAGAAAAATTGATAAAAACTCAAGTGAAGAAGTATTTGGATTATTTCGACATCTTATCTTCCCATCAATCTGGTTTTAGGAAATAACAGCACAATGACCGATTTGCTGAAAGTTTGTAACAATGTTATTGAACCATTTGATGCTAAGGATTATTGTGCTGCACTTTTCTTAGACCTGTCTAAAGCTTTTGGTACTGTAGACCATGACATCTTATGTCATGAGCTCCCAGACATTGGTTTCTTAGCCCATACTCTCGGTTTGTTTTCTAATTACCTCTCAGATCGAAGGCAATGCCTTCATCATAATGCTAATTCTTCCAGCTATTTAACTGTTAATAATGGTGTACCACAAGGCTCAGTCTTAGGTCCCACCCTCTTCACAATCTACATAAGTAATGTAGGTCAGCTCATTCCTGATGCATCCCTACATTTCTATGCCGACAACACAGTTCTTTATTTTCGAGCTAAACAGCTGCTAAGGTTTTCCAGCTTTTACAATCTGCATTCAACATCATCCAGTCAGATTTGTTCCATCTCAAACTGGTGCTAAATGCTGATAAACCAAAGGGTTGTTGCTTTCATACAGCAAGTCAGTTCCGAAGTCCTTCCTTCAATCTTATATACGAAAGGTGTTTCTATTGAGTTTGTCAATTCTTACAAATAATTGATAATTTTGGTAGGTGCTCTTTTAAGCCTCATGTCAAAAATTTGGTAAAGAGATTGAAAATAAAATCGGGTTTCTTTTTCAGAAATAGATCCTGTCTAACTCTGAACGCTAGGAAACACTTCTTTCGGCTTTTCCCTCTTCAGAGGTCGCCACAGCGAGTCATCCTCCTCCATCTCACTCTGTCTTCTGTCTCTTCTGTCCTCACTCCAACTACCTTCATGTCCTCTCTAACTACATCCATACATCTTCTCTTTGGCCTTCCTCTTTGTCTTTTTCCTGGCAACTGCATTTCTAACATCTCTCTATCTCTCTACCAATGCACCCACTGTCCCTCCTCATGTCCAAACCATCTCAGTCTGGCCTCTTTAAATTTATCTCCCAGTTGTACCATACAACATAGTTAGTCTTACCACTGTCTTGTAAACTTTCATCCTGGCTGGACTCTCTTTTCATCCCTTTACTTCTGTCCATTGACTATGGTGACATTATTTATATGAATGCTCCTGCAAGCACCTTACAGATGTTGGACGCTGTCCATCACGGTGTGCTAAGATTCATAACTGGTTGTAACTACCGTACCCATTACTGCACCCTGTATTCACTGGTTAACTGGTCATCATTAACTTCACAGAGACCCTCACACTGGTACATTTCATCTTTAAATAATTTCTTGGTTTGATGCCTTCATACATCTCCTCCTACATGTTACGTCCTCAGTGCAGCTACAGCGTGTGCTCCCAAGACATCATTACCTGCAGTGTCTCATCAGCGCAGACCAAATTTGGCAAAAGGACCTTCTCTTACTCTACTCCTGTTTCATGGAACACCTTGCAAAACGATCTGAAGCTCTCGACTTTGACCTCTCTAAGGGATTTTAAACAATTGTTAAGTTCAATGCAAAAATCAATGCAGACATGCTCCTGTTCTTAGTAGCTTACATCTTTCATAATGTAGCATGTTTTATCACTTTGTTTTATAATCACTTATTTTATATACTTTTCATTTTATATGCTTTTATATGAATGTTTATTGTTGTCTGTACCTCATCTGTGGTTTTTTGTTTAAAAACAGGTCTTTCTTGTAAATGAGTCCTCGTGACTCAGTGAGACTAACCTGTATAAATAAAGGTTGAATGAATATTGACCATGATAGATTTATGACAGCAATAGAATCATAAAGCATCCAAGGGAGTGAATAGTTTCTGTAGCCACAGTAATGGAGACCTGTTTAATGTTAGGTCATAATGTAATCGCTTGTTATATTGTAGCTAATGCGACAAACATTCAAGTAAACATTATTGCTGCTTTAATAAAACCTATCAGAGGTTTGACCCAGAATCTAGATTTAAAACAGTGAGCGTTACATTACACCTTGATGTTCTCACGTTAAGGCGTCATGTTACTTTCGCCTCTTTATGATTTAGAAAAAATGTGCAGTCGACTGATTTACAGATACTACGGTCTGGAAAGATACGTCGTGTTACCGTCTACACAGCCTTTGCCCTCCTCCAAAGGAACATTAGACGTCTGCAGGTCCGGACCTGTCTGAGAGTCACTTCTTCATGCTTCATGATTTTGTTTATTTTTTTCTACGGAGCAGTGTGACACCCTGTTTTACTGTCTTTATAACAGTCACAGGGGATAGGTTTGAGAGCAACAGTAAATACTGCAGCTGAACCTTTAACGTGGGCGTAAATCCAGAATGGAAAACGGTTTCAGTGAAACAAAAAGTAAAGTACTGTACAAAACCCACACACTCTTTGTTACAACACTTCTGCCAGACATGAGTCTGCAGCATTCCAGGTCAACGTTTGGTCTGAAAAATGTCAAGACTTTTACACTTTTATCTGAAGCGAGACTTAGAAGAAACTAAAAAGTAAAGATGATGGAAACTGTGGTGATGTGAAAATGTTCAGCTGTAGAAATCCCTGCCTGGAGTAACCCAGGCTGCTCCAGATGTGCTGCACCTATAGCTGTCATAACGATTCGTACTTCCAAAAACCACAGGATTCCATGTAAATACCCATGTACTGAGAAACTGTAGGTGGAGGAAATATTTATAAAATTCAGGTCCTATGGAGACAGCTGTGAATGACAATCTCACCCTGTGCAACACTTGAGAAGGTTCACCAAATATTTAAGACTTCGCCAGAGAAAGTACGGTTTTAGATTGTTTGTTTTGAATTTAAATCAGCTTAAGTTAAGCTTGTAAGAGGTAAAAAATAAATGAAAAAAAATAAACGACGGACACAAGGAATTTCTGGAAACATTTTTAACACGATCAGTTTGCCAGTTTATATATATATATATATATACCTATGTATAATGCATTAATACTAAATAAATATTTTTTTTACATGAACAGACTTGTGGTTTTAATTTTTTTCACAAGTTTTAAAGGAAAAAAAGTTATTGTTAATACTGCATTTACATTATAAAATAATGTCTTAAAAGATCTAAACATTATTTACTTCAGTAGTCTAATGTACAGAGGAAGTAGGACTGAGAGCATGCAGCGAAAAATCACTGTAGCCACTGTAGTTCCAGTATCACATTAATTTATTTATAAGTGAAGCTGAGTTGTGTATAAAACGCAGAGCTCCAGAGAAGGAAAGTTCATTTTAAATAGTCTATATTTACCGTTCTACACTTGAAGAACATGTTGGAAGGTGAAGTTCAGTCAGAGAAAACTGCAACCAGCAGCTGAGCCTCCTAGCTTAGTGTCCATCACAAATAAACAACAAATAAAAAAACATCCCGACCGCTGTTCCTAAAACTCAAACCAACAAAAACTTCAACAACAAACTCTCCTCCGGGTCCACTTCCGTGTGTAAGGTGTCTGCCGCAACGTGAGCGCGTGAGGTATTCAGGTGTGCTGCTCTTTTTACCTGCGGGTCGATGACGTCACTTCCAAAGAAAGATTGGGGCGTGCTGCATTCAAGTGCCGCAGGGAGGATAGAAAAGCTGAACTTTTAGCGTTGACCTGCGTGGAATTAAAGCTAGAAGTTCCATCAAACCGGTTTTACAGACCAAAATTACTTAATTATTGTACTGAAACATGTTCTTCACAACACTGTGTCCAAAAACTAATTAGTCTGATGAAGATATTCAATAAACAGCTAATGGAAATCTTGTCACGGTCAAAAAACAAACACACAATTATTTTTTCAAATCAATTCCTATGTTAGAAAAATTATGAACAATTGTCATCTTACCTATTTATATACTTCAATAACCAAGTTTTGAGAAATTGCTCCAGATAACAGTTAATCCATCCAACCTTTATTTATACAGGTTAATCACTTTGAGCCTCGAGGACTCATTTACAAGAGACCTGAATTTTTTTTTAACAAAAAGTGATGACAACAGTGGACAACAACAACAATAGACAATCATAAAAGATATATATCAAAATTGGAAGAATGGGCCATAATGTTCATAACATTATGGGCAGCTGTGGCTGAGTTGTTAGAGCAGTCGTCCTCCAATGGGAGAGTTGGGGGTTCAATTCCACCCACAGTCACATGTTGAAGTGTTCCTGGGCAAGACATTGAACCCCTCATTGTTTTCAATGTGTGTCACATTGGTGTATGAATGTGATCTTAAGCACTGATTAGTCTTTACAGATTCAGATTGTAGAGACCTAGTAGAGAGCTCCATGAATGTGTGTATGGAGGTAAACGAGGGCACAGACTGTACTGTAAAGCGCTTTGAGTATCTTGATTAGATAGAAAGGTGCTACATAAGCACAGTCCATTTACCATAACTTTCATAGACAGAATTTCTCAGCGCAGCCAGGAGGCAGAGGCATAATTTTGGTGGCCTTCAGGTTCCACGTCTCCCATTTTCTGGATGATGCAGTGCATTTGGTGTCATTGTGCCATGATCTTCAGTTCTTATGGGAGTAGTTCGCAGTCAAGAGTGAAGAGGATAAGCACCTCCAAATCTGAGGCCACTGTCCTCATTTGGCAAAAGGTGAATTGTTCACTCCAGGTTGGGGGTGAAGTTCTGCCTCAAGTGGAGGAGTTTGCATCTTTGGGTTTTGTTCTCGAGTAAGGGAAGAATGGCGTGAGATGGACAGATGGACCAGTGCAGTGTCTACTGAATTGCAGACTCTGTGCCAGTGTGTATTTTAGTATATTGCATTGCTGCTTTAATTTGTAGATTAATGTACAACTGTTGAATCTTTGTTCATGATGTTTTACAATAATGAAAGTAACAAAAGGATGACATTTAAACTTTATAACAATAATTTGTGCCACCACAGCAAATACAAATACAGAACACTGTTCAGCCTCATTTTTCTTCTGCATTTCTCTTAAACACAACATCTTCAGCCCTGAGCTGTGACTGCTGCAACATCTAGTGACAATAAACTGGTCTAGATTCTCAGTTGTACAGGACATGGTAAATCCAACAAAGGAAATAAATAAATAAACAAATAATAATAATAAAACAAACAAAAAAACTGGACTTCTGCCACTCATCTACAGAATAGAGGATCAGATTTATTTATTTATTCTTTTTTTTTTTAACGTTTTTTGGATTCATCTATTGACAAGTGCTGCTGAACAGTTTACAACAACTAAGTGAATCATATACAACATTATCTGTATTTAAAAGAATGATGAAACAAAGTTTATAGAGATTTTAACACATTTGTTTAATTTTTTTATTATTATTATCTGAATATTTTTGGTCAATCAAAATGTATTATAAGCAATTATATATTGCTTTGGTGTGTATTTGTGTGTTTAAAGTAAGATGTAGGCTTATGTGTAAAGCTTTTATGATTTTTTTCTTTATATTTTTAGAAAAAGATGGGGGGGGGGGGGGGTCGCTTGTAAGCCCTTTTGGGTTTTTATGACCTCTCCTGCACATTTTGTTTTTATCTTTTCCTTTATGTGTAATGTTTCTTTTTTGTGCAAACAATAAAATAAATAAAAATAAATAAAAAAACAGTAACAGCATAGAACTGCATCACCATGTAAGACTAACACATAAAGTTTGATACCATAATTGCATACAAAAAAAATAAATACTGGAGTCAGTATCAATATATTCATCTACACACAAATGTTCTCACATTTTTTTCCTCATTTAACCCATAGTGACTCAGGATAAGATCAAGAAAAACTATTTAAGAGGTAAGTGGTCACCAACCATCGAGACCGATGTGTCACCTTGCCACATGCTCCTAATGGCCATTCGATCCACCCCATCAGTCCACTGGCATCTGTCCATTTGAGGTGATAACTGGTCCACACTGATGACCCTCCCTTTACACCTGCTCAACCTGGTGAAGCCAGTGTAGCTATACAGCCTACACAGCTCAGCGGTATACGAAAGATCTGAACAAACATCTGCAAAACGCCTTCGCACAAAAGTGTCTTAACAAGACGGCAAAGAGTATACGACAGAAAACCTCCCATGAAGAGCTGGGGCAAAAGATCAGGTACTACATCTTAATAAAATAGTAACTACAGATTTTCTTATAATTTCATCACTAACGGATTTTTCCAGTTAAACTAAAATCCCAGTAACTCTTTGCGCTCTGCCTCGTTTCACAGAGCTCATTCTGCAGAATCTTTTCAGTGCTTGTGTCGAACCTGAGTTTACTGCTTGTTGCCATTACAGCCACAATCCTTCAGCTGAATCACCAGCATGTTTTTCCTCCTAGTTTCACTCTGCAGACTTTTGGTAATGCAGATCTTCTTCTGTACTGCTGTCAGATCAGCTTCCTCAGAAAGACAGTCATCTTCAGGTTTGGATATTTTCAGTAACTGAGTTAAAACAGGTAAACCGTGTAAATGGCCACAATGTTACACCACCACTGAGCCTTTTGCTCTGTGAGTCAATCACAACAGCATCCAGAGTCTTCAGCGTCCACCTCTGGCATCTTGCTGCCAGGGAGCTTTTTACCTCGGGCTGTGACCTCTGCCACAGAACTGAACTCAGACTTCAGAGTCCTCAGACTTTGCCTCCATGGTGTTCAGGAAAGTTTACTTTAGAACAGGGCTATTCAACTGGAAGCCAGCGGGTGACTTCAATCCAGCCCACTTCATTAATAAATAAATAAACAGATAAATAAAGTTCCTGTTATAAATTTAACACTTCCTTAGTGTAACTCCTCTGAGATACGTGAATATTCTGTTAAACACATCGTACTGTTGAACATGACGCGATGTAAACTTTAATTTAATTCTGATGACAACGACACAACCTGAAAATTGTAGAGAACAGAAAGTTACAGCTGCTACAAGATAACCCGTCTGAACTGTTTTTGTTTTACCAGTTTAACAAATTTACTGATGTATATTCGCTGCATCACATTTATCAGTATTAATTAATCCTGTCTTATGTATCCTTTTATAAAATGAAGTACCTTGTAATTTCTACCTCTTAGTTTACCTGATATATGTTAGTAAAGCTGCAGTTGTACAGTGTCTGGTAAAGAAAATTAAACCTTTGGGAATTTGAAAGTCGAAGCTGGAACAAGACCAATATCCCCATAAACTTGTTCAACAAGTTTTAAGTCCCATCCTCACCGTATAAATGAAAATAACACTGATCTTGATATAAAATACATCTGAGATCATGTTTTCTTGTGTTTTATTCCCTCTGAACATGACACTTGAATCCAACACTGTAAATATGCACACTGTATTAAACTTTACTGTTTATCTGACAGAAAAAAAAAAAAAAACATCATAAAGGTGTAACAAAGAAATGGACACACATCACAGCTGGGTTACACATCTTCCTCACCTTTATCATGACTGTACATTTCACTCAAGGTCAGCAGCCACCAGAGAACAATCAAAAGTCAAACATGAGCAAAAATCAAGTGAAACGTTCAGTCTTGCAGATGTATGAACATCAGCTCTGTGTTGACTGGAAATAAACTTTAAGAAATGGTATATTTACACATTTAGCACATGAACATACCACCTGGTTGATCTTTGCTAGGTTTGTAGTAGTCACTCCTGTTCTTGCCCTGAGCTCTTTCTGTAGTTCTTCATCTTTGTCTTCCTGAAAGAGGTGAAGCTGAGACCCGACTCCTCCGTCTTCTTCTCCTCTGCTGGACCCACAGCTCCACTCAAGTCCTTCTCTTTATTCTTCTTTCTCTGTTTCTTCTTCTCAGCGATTTGTTCTCCAGTTTCTTTTCTTTCTTTGCCTTCCTCCTCCTCCTCCTCCTCCAGGTGACTGAGCTGTAACTCTTTCTCCTTCCCCTGCTGATCAGCTGACTCCTGCGCAGCAGTTTCTTCCATCGGCGGTCGCTTGGGTCTGGAGAAAACCATCCTCTGATCGGCGTCACAGGGGGAGTCGGTTTCAGTTTCCTGACGCAGACTGGACAGGAACTGGTGAGCTGCCCTCCTGTTGTCCTTATCGCTGGTCTCAGCCACGTCCTCCAGACTGTAGTGTGTCCAGCGCTCAGGGTGAACCAAGTAGTCCGGCACTCCTCTCTTCTTAGGTGGTGGTGGTGTGGAGCAGGTGGGCGGAGGGTGATTAGTCTTTCTGCTCTCTGTGGTGCTGCCCGGGTTCAGGGAGGGGACAGTCCGTCTCTCAACACTATCCAGGCAGTCGAAGATGCTGCGGCTGCGGTTTGAGAAGGCTGAGCCCCCACCACTTAAGGTGAATGTGCTCTGAGCTGTGGGAGCAGCAGCCGGAGCGCAGCCCCCTTCCTCCCTGTCATCATCACTGTTGTCCAAGTCGTAGTCAAAGGGCGCGTCACTGGGCTGTTGTTCAGGCTCAGATTCATCGCTCTCTGACAGCTCAACTGAATCTTCACTGTTCAACGCCAGGTTGAAGTTTCTGACGCGTTTCCGATGAGACATCTTTGCACTGTTGTTGCAGCTCTGATGAGAAAAACAAACAGGGGGGATAAGAGAAGGTAAAAACTACAGTGATGGCTAAAAATAACAAAAAGACAGCGTACATTTTAGGATTCTACAAACAACTGGATGAAAATATAAATCTGTACTTCTGGCACCATAGGTTACCTTCCCTCACATACACACACAGCTGAGAAAGTACTTAGTCTAACATTTTTTTCATAATGTAGACTGACTCAAATCAGGTCAAAGCATCCTATTCTGGCATGAATTTAAAATCCCATTTACCTTTGCAACAACTAAATCTCATTTCCAGTTTATCCATCAACGTGAGATAGAAAGTTAATACAAATCTGAGAAAAGGAAAGCAGGCAGTCTTTCGCTTTTAAGGTTTTACATATTAGGAATCATATAAACACATTTTTAGATGAAAAACATATAAGCTGCATTATTATTTACTTTACAGTAAATCAAAATGTAAGAGCAGTGAGAAAAATCCAAGTCCAGTTACTCTTACAGGAATTCTAAGTTTAAGTAGCATCCAGGTGATACTGATCAAATATACTGATGATTGATTATGAGTAAATATGAACGCTTCCATTAAAAGATGTTTTATTATTTTCATTCTCTGGAACATTCAGGTGTGTGTTAACACAATGCCAAGAAGGACATACATTGAAAACGTGAAGCAGCTGTTGCAGATCTTAAGTGAGAAAGGTGATGAGGTCATTTCTAATCTACTTTAGAAAATAATTTTGTCCGGGGAATAAGAGAATTCGATACTAAAGAAATAGTTATCAACCTTTCCAAAAGTTAATGTCCCAGCAAATTCACCCCAAGGTCAGACAAAGATAAGTCATTGCTCATAGACATGAAAAAACCCAAGAGCTCCATGTCAGACTTTACAGGACTCAGTTAGAATGTTAAAAGTTAAAGTTTACGACTGATTATTAAAAACAGAACAAAAAAGGTTGCCACAAGAAAAATGTTGTGCTCATAAAGAAGCGTTGCTGCTGACTCACGTTTATAAAATTGCATTTAAATAAACCATAAGACTTTTGCCCCAATTTTCTTTGGACAAAATGTCTGCTACTAAGTGTCAGCATGGTGGTGGAAGGGCGGTCATTTGTGTTTCTTTTGCAGTCAGTTTGTTGATTTGTAGTCCAACAGGTAAAGCTAATCTGGCTCATGCAACAGAACATAATCTCAACTATTTTAAATCTACAATAGGATGACCGAAACAAACAAAAGAAGAATAAAGTCGATGCAACTGTGCAGTGAAAGTCCAAACCTCTGCCCAATTGAAATGCAGATGTGGGACATTAAAAGAGCTGTGCAGAAACGAACACCCACAAATCTCAATAAACTAACCATTGTCTAGCCATTGTAGAAGACTTACATTGTCTGCATTTCAGCTTTTATTTGGCTAACAAATAGTGACAGAGTAATTTGACTTTCAATGTTGTTAATTTGAAGTCATATTTAATTAAGACCTAGTAACCTGGTAATTACCTTTTAATTTAATCTAATATATAAAACCTTAGAATTGAAACAGAATGCACTTCATTTTATGCATGAATGTACCAGTTTATTTGTTCTGTTTTGGACACAATCAGCTCTTCTCAGAGTTACTGATGTCAGTGATGAGTAACCCGTGTCTGGTAACTGTGAAGAGTAGAAGTATGTACTAATTTGGTGCTTCTGTTGTAGTATTAATGTTTTATGTGCTCCGGACTGTTTAAAAAAAAAAGTTTTCTTCATACAACGCCACCACACACTTCTGGTTAATGATCAGTTTTGAAAGTCAAAGAAAGCATATACCGTATTGTAAACTCAATCAAGCAAGACCTGAAATGAAAAGATTTACCTGTTCTAAATCATATTAGAAACTTAACACAGCTTTAATAGATTCAATTCAGTCCTCAGTTTTTCACATCTGTCTACTAACAGTTAAGCACAAACAGCAGATTTTGTCAATGAGACACATACTGAGGTCAAACGTGATCCATGGCATACACAACGTTGAAGTTATTTTAACACCTTAAAGACAAATAATCCATTTATTAATTTCATCATTCATCAGATCACTGATCAACTTTCAAGCATTTAGGGAGGAATCATTCAGTTAAATACCAGACGCCCTTTTCTATAATAAAAAAAGCTTTGACTATTGTTTGAATTAAGTTTAAAAGTTAGGATTAAATAGTTTTAAAACATATAAATATATTCCAGTCCTGCTCTGAAACATATTAACTTAAAATGTTTAATGAATCAATTATCAAATCAGGCTCAATGGTAATAAAATAATAACAATAATGCACCATCATGGTCAACCTTCTGTATGAAGTTCACAAACTGAAGGAACATTTAGCACTTCTCTGTTTTATTCTCCCTTCACTAACTTTCTAATCACCTGGTCTAAATAATTAAATATCAGCTGTTGACATTAAACGCTGTTTAAACAGCTCTGGTTAGCATGCTAAAGCTAACAGATTTATCCATTAAAATCTACTTATGTACAAAATAAAAAACCGCATTGTAGAACACACAGGGGACAACTACATTTATTTGTTCCTTTCAATTGAAATACATTTTAAATTTCACGTTAATTCTCGTCGATTTACCTGAAAGCTAGCTTTACGTTCTTGTCGTTAGCAACTCTCTTCTTCTACGTTTTTCTGGTGTTTCCACGAAGTTGCTGCCCCCTAGCTGTAACCAATGATACTGCACGAAGACGACGTAAACTTTTACAGGGTGACGAAAAGCGTTTTTCACAATTTTAAATTGTGCATATACCATTCATTTCAAAATGTCCGTTGCACAGGAGTTCACTTTTGTCAGAATTAGAGGCTGTTTAAAAAAAAAAAAAAACTAGGGTAAAGTCTAATGTAGCACTTTGCGCATGCTCAACAAACGAGGCACGAGGAGGGCGGGACTCCGTCGAACTCGTCTTATAATTGGCTGTCACGATGCTGACCGGGATATTTTGAAAGTAACAGGAAAAGAATGCTGTTGATTTTCTGTTTGTGAAACACAGCATCAAGGCGTGTCTGTTTTATCCAGTGGAACAGGAGTATTTGTTAATTCTCATGGAGTCAGAAGCACGGGAAGTGGCGTGTATAGTTAACGACATGTCGGATATGGTGGTGGTTGATCTGGATTCTACCGTTACAGCCGAGCTCGACACAGAGGACGGCCTCCCCGAAGAGGCCCGTAATGTGTCAGACGTAGCTCACGGTATGAAAACGTTATTTATGTGTTCAGTATGCACTAGTTAATGTTAAACTTAGTTGGTTTTTACGTTGGAACTAACTAAAATGCACGACGGAGCTAAAATGTACTAACACACCGATCATGCTAGGCTAACAAGCTACGTTTAGCTAGTCTGGGTCCCATATTTTATTCAGTCTGTGAACATTTTGTTTACTGTTTTACTTGATTGCACTTTTTTATTATAACAAGTAACCTTTACAAATACGCTTTAACTTATTGGAACATTAACTCAAAGCAGTCTGCTCCTCAGATAAATAATGTTAAATTATTATTTTTAAATATGAACGTTTCTGATTACTTATTTTACATATGAATATGTCTGTTCAGTGCCCTGACACGACTTCTGTTGTGACTTGGTGCTATAAAGCTGAATTATTACACTGCCTGGATAATATCAATGTGTGCTCTCCTGCAGACACACCCAAGTGAAGTGATGGGTCTGCTTCCCCCTACAGCTCTGTTTCAGAACGAAGACGATGAAGGTGAGGATGATGGTGATGACAGTGGCACAGATCACTTCAGTGAAAAGTCTGGGACCCAGCTGCAGAGATGTGAGCGACGAGGGAGCTCCAGACTTCCTGACACCTTCCAGACCAGCAACCTGTTATTCTACGAGAGGTTTAAAGCTTATCAGGACTACATGCTTGGTAACCGTGGCTTCAGAAGTGTTGATAATCACAGGCTGCAGTGTTTAAGTATATGTTTACTGCAGCTTGTTTTGTTTGTAGGAGATTGCAAGCCCTCAGAGGTGCAAACCTTCACAGCAGATTACCTGGACAAGGTGTTGGAGCCATGTGACTGGTTAGCTTTATGGTGCACTGACGTGTTCGATGTTCTGGTGGAGGTGAGAACAGCTGCCACCATAATGTCCCTCAGTTTCGTTTAAAGTAACTTCATCATTTGTAGGAAGATCCTTTTGTATACAACTTCATCGTGCTTACAATATTTATTAGCAGCCATTTTTAAGTGATGCTGTTGGTAATTTCAGGTGAAGGATTTGGACCTAAAGGATCTGAAGGCTTGTGTGAAATTAGTGCTGCCTCTGCAGTGTGGCACCAGAGACTGTGAAATAACTGAGGAGGCCATGAACGCTCTCCTTGAAGACACTCAGCACAAAGTGTCCCTGCAGGAGCTGCAGGTGGTCTACGAAGAGTCTGGAGACTTTGACCAGACTGCTCTGGCTCTCGAGCACCTCAGGTACGACACCTCAAATATGTTTCTCTGCCTGGAGATCAGAACATGCATTTGGGTATTGTTTCTTTCTGACATCCTTCTGTTTGTAGGTTTTTCTATAAACACATCTGGAGGCAGTGGGATGAGGAAGACGAGGATGATGACTTTGACTATTTTGTTCGTTGTGTGGAGCCTCGTCTCAGATTGTGAGCACACCCAGAGTTTCTGATGAGATTTCCACCTGTGCCAGCTCACGTTGATAAACTGTGTTTTAAAATCTCTCTTCTCAGCTACTACGACATCTTGGAGGACAGAGTTCCAGCCGGCCTGGTGGCAGAGTACGAGTCCTTACTAGAAAACTGCTCCAAGTGCTTCCAGCAGTTTTCAGAGCTCCGCAGCGGCCTCTGTGCTGACTCGGACTCTGAGCTGGACAATGTGTCAATGGTGGAGGGTCTGAAGCTCTGTGACCAGCTGGAGACATTCAAACGCAAGCTACACATCATCGAGAACCCCCTGCTGAGGTGTGTTATTCATTGTCCATCTCACATATACCCTACACATTCCAGCTTTCTGTACTTCCCTCTCCTCTCGCCCAGGTATGTGCTGGCCTACAAAGGAACCTCCGGGCAGCAGTGCGTACAGAGCCGTGGGCTCAGGGCTTCAGGTATGAAGGTGGTTCATGTGGTGACGGCGTCCTGCAGCATCATCCAGCTCCAATCTCTCCTCAGTGCACGACTGATTTCCCTGTGCTCCTCAGAGGACACCGAGATCCAGGTCAGTACATCGTGCATGTCTACAATACAACCAGGACTGACCTGTGGGGCTGAAACACACAAAGTTAATCAGTGCAATGTAAACTCTTCAAATTCATCTCCTTGTTGTTTCCATCAGTAATAATCAATGCAGAAAACGTTATAGGGGTGAGTCCTAAAGTTTAGCTAGTACCGACTTTGAGCAGTTCAAACTCCAAACATAAGCTGTGCAGATTAGTTCAGATGAGGGGGTTGACGCTTCACTTGGTGTAGTTGTTGTTCTGTGGTTAATGAGCTCTGCTGCCTGCAGTCACACAAAGACCTTTTTGTGGATGAAGGAACACACCACCTTTAAATTGAGTCACACTTACAGTACAATGCTTGTGACTTCAAGATTTCTGATTATTTAAATCTTACAATTACCAGTAATGTCTGGATTGAAGCTTTTTACATAAGAAAATATAGTTTTTCCTATTGTGTATGGAAGTTATTTGTGTGGACGCAGCATACGAAAAAAGCTTTTTGATGCAAACACAACATTCATTCTGCACTTCTTTCTGGTGAGGGGTTAGGCGATGTATCCTCCATTCAACTTTTCAACAAGATTTGACATGTTTTAAAAAGCCCTATTGTTAATTTAATCAGATTTTGGCCAAAAATGCAATAATGCTGATTAGACAGCATGATTATTGCACAGGTGTGTCTTAGGCTGCCCACAGTAAAAGGCCACTCTAAAATGTGCAGTTTAATCACACAGCAAATTGCCACAGATGTGTAAAGTTTTGAGCGAGCGTGCAGTTGGCATGCTGACTGCAGGAATGTCCATCAGAGCTGTTGCCTGTGAATTCAATGTTCATTTCTCCACCATAAACCATCTCCGAAGGGGTTTCAGAGAATCTGGCAGTACGTCCATCTAGTCTCACAACCACAGTCGTCGTACAACCAAACAGCCCAGGACCTCCACATCCAGTATCTTCACCTCCAAGATCATGTGTGATCATCCACTCGTACAGCTGCTGCGATAATCAGTTTGCATAAACAAAGAATGTCTGCACAAACCGTCTCAGGGACCTCATCTTGCTCTTCATCCTCATCGGGGTCTCCACTTGACTGTTCATCGTTGTAACCGACTGGAGTGGGCAAATGCTCACATTCGATGGTGTATGGCATGTTGGAGAGGTGTTTTCTTCATGGATGAATCCCTTTTTCATGTATGACATTATGTGGGTGAGCTGTTTGCTGATGTCACCATTGTGAATCGAGTGGCCCATGGTGGAGGTGGGGTTATGGTATGGGCAGACATGTTATGGACAATGAACATGGGGTGGTGTGTTTGCATGTGGTCTGCGGTTGTGAGGCTGGTTGGATGTACAGCCAAATTCTCTGAACATGGACATTTTTGCAGGCAGTATGCCAATTGGACACTCCCTCAAAATTTGAAACATCTTTAGCATTGTACTGTGATTAAACCGCACATTTTATAGTGGCCTTTTATTGTGGGCAGCCCAAAGCACACCTGTACAATAATTGTGCTGTCTCATCAGCATCTTGATGTCCCACACCTGTGAGGTGGATGGATTATCTCGACAACAGAGAAGTGCTCACCAACAGATTTACACAGAGAGAAAAATTAAATTTTTTGAGTTCAGTTCATAAAAAATGGGAGCAGAAACAAAAGTGTTGTACTTCTACTTTGTTCAATGTGGAAAACATCTTAGCAATATGGCCACCAAGATGGCATTACGTTCGACTATAGATATTGTATTAATATTTAAATGTCTTGGTCAACTCAAGTTTTGCAAGGTGCTCAGATCATTAACCTTCCACCACCATGCTGACGGTTTGTTTGAGCTGATCTGTTTTTCCTCTCTTTTTGTGGTGGTGCTCCTTCGAGAGAAGACATTTCACCTGGCAATCGTTCATATTTGTTCTGTCTTCTCATAGATTTATTTTGTAGTTACTAAAGTGTAAAATCAGGCACCACGCCCCAAATAAATTCACATTCAATTCAGGTATTCAAGTTCAGCATTAACAGTTAGTGTTGTTCTTTACAGCTGCTTATTGACTTTTATTTACAGTGTTATAAAGAGATTTACTGTATTTTATGTTGTGATGGAAAAGCTTTCTTAAAGTGCAATGTTTCCGGGTGTCAGAATGACCGCAGTGCTCAGCTTAAACAGAGAAATAAATATAATGTTTAGACTAAGTGTGGATCCATGCCAAAAAAGTGAATGCAAAGATGAAACTTCAAATAAATTGTACTAATTTTTTGTTGGATAAGCAGGTCAAAGTCAGTGACAGAAACAAATGTACACAAACGTGAAATAAAAGCTGATTTGATGTTAAAGAACAAGAAGTAGGCATAAACCTTTCTAGACCACAATGCATTGCAAAATACTGTCTTTGAGCATGCACATTACTAAAAATGTTTTTCCTTTAGTTCCACAAAGAGCCAGTGTCGGCTGTGGATGCGTGTCACCAGGACGACTTGGTGATCATTCTCCCAGGAGTCTACAGCGTCAGCAGCTCCATCTTCATCCCAGACTCCATCACCATCGAAGGTAACGACACTAAAGTAGGAGCGAGAAACCATTTTTCTTTTTTCCACTGATGCCTCATTTTGTGCAGCGTTGGCTGGCAGTAAAAATAATCATCACGTAAAGTAGAAACCGTTTTATGATTATGAACAAAGCAAATGATAAAACAATACTAATATAAATTGAAGCAGTACTTGTCACACATTAATTGGTTTCTGTGTTCCAGGATTTGGGTTTCCTGATGAAGTTGTCATTGAGATGAAAGACAAAGGTGACTCGTTCGTGGAATCTACAGGAGCGGATGTCAGACTGTCCAACATCAAGTTCATCCAGCACGATGGCATCGGAGGCATTCTGTGTGAGTGAACCCATCGATGAACCTGCTACAAAATGATCTGCATGCTCACATACAACAGCAGCTGTTTGTCTGACTAAAATGTTTTGAAAAAATTATACAAGAGGCAGATGGCATGTCCCATTTTTCAACTGGACGCGTGGTCCTTTGAAAGCCTGAACTTTAGAACATGTTGCCCACCCTTTAGTCGGGTGTTTGCCTTGTGAGCTGCTTCAACAATAGTTCAGCTCAAAATTTCAGGTAGTAGAAAGGAGTTGGATATTCTTGTGCTTTAATTCCTGTGGTAAAGTAGAGCTGCTTTGTTGATTTTTCAGGTGTGCGTCAAGGTACTGTGAACATGGAGAACTGTGTGCTGCAGTGTGAGACCACTGGCGTGATCGTGCGAACATCTGCACGTCTTACCATGAACATGTGTGACCTGTATGGCTCCAAGGTGAGCTCTGCACCACAATAATCACCTGAAAACCTCTGAGACTCGCGGTTTTGTTTCTGGGGTCGTGTCTGTTTAAGAACAACTTTTAGCTCCATGCATACATCCCTTTACCAACTGTGATGGGTCCTGATGCTGTTTGCAGGGGGCAGGTGTGGAGATTTACCCCGGCAGCGTCTGCAGTCTGGTTGGGAACGGCATCCATCACTGTAAGGACGGGATCCTGATCAAGGTGAATGGATCACTGAATCACTTTAGACTGAAAACTTTACTAAAGTAGGGCCACACATAGTATTTTTAAGATGTGAGAATATGTTTGGGCTTCAGATGTTTATTAGTAAAACTCTTTAGGATGTATATTAATGAAGAATTATTCAAATGTTATGGAATTATTAGACAACGTACACTCAAAATCAGCAGATAAAGTTTCAATGTTTCAGTGCTGAAAAATCTAAACTAACACTAGAGAAATTTCATTTCCTGTGAAAATGCAGTGCGAATGTTTATTGCAGAAGAACTTGCTGATAAACAGCTGAAATTAGCTCAAAAGATGCTGAAATGGAAGAACAAGCCTAAATTAGCAGAAGAAAGCAGAAACGACACATTTGCTGAACTGGGCTTAAATAAGTTGAAATGTGCTCAAAAATTTGGAAATTGGCTACAAAAAGGCTGAAATTAGCAAAAATAAAAAATGTCTGAAAAGTCAGAAAGAAGCTTAAAATACTAGAAGGAAGTGGAAGGAACTTAAATGTGCTAAAGAAAATGGAATTAGCTGAAAAAGTTAAAATTTACATAAAAACGGCTAAATAGTATCTGAAATAGTAGAACTAGCTGACACTAGTGTAATTAAGCTGAAAGGAGCATAACAAGCTGAAATTAATAGAAAGAAGTTAATTTCACTGAAAGTAGCAGAATTTCTCATAAATAACTTGAATCTATCTGAAAATAGCTGAAATTAGCTAAAAATGCTAAAAAAGCTAACTGAAAAGGTAGAACAAGCTTAAATTAGCAAAAGAAAGCAGAAGGAACATGCTTGCTCAGTTACACTAAAAAAGGCAGAAATTAACAAAAGAGTGGAAATTATCTGAAAAAAGTTGAAATTAACATAAAATCAACTGAACAAAGCTAAAAAGACTGAAATAAGCTTAAATTACCAGAATGAAGTGGAGAGCGCACATTTTTGCTGAATTAGACTGAAAAAAGTTGAAATGAGTGCAACAAATGTAGAATTAGCAGACAAAGCTAAATTGGCTTAAAAACAGGTAAGTAGTAGCTGAAATAGCAGAAAAAGCAGAATCTTGCAGAAATAAGCTGAGCGGAGCATAACAAGCTGAAATTATCAGAAAGAAGTTAGAAGAAGAGCAAAAATGTTGTAGTTAGCAGAAAGAACCTGAAAGGATCACAAAACGGCTGAAATTAGCTGAAAAAAGTTTAAATCTGTACAAGCTGAAAGCAGCTGAAGCAGAACAAAATGTGAAAGGAGCAGTAAAAGGTTGTGAACGGATCTAAAGACGTGAAGGATGTAAAATGAGCTCGATTAATTTTATGAGAAAAAATGACAGAAAAGGCTAAATATTTCAAAAAGCTAAAGTTGCACCAATACCAAAAGTGATTGATTCAGGATTGTCCTGAACGAGCTGAATGTTTTGATATATTTTGAAGTAGCACAAAAATTGTGGAACGAGAGAAAGATGACAAAAAATGTATGGAAGAAAAATGGATCACAATAGTGAATGCTTCATAAACATTCACACTACTGTGATTTGTTTTGACATCTGAAACGGGTCAGGTACAAGTTTCAATGGTGATTCATCTTCTAACATCTGTTTCATGACACGTAGTCTGAACATAAAGATGTTTCACTGTACCTCTGGTCCTACTTTCAAATGTAATGAAAGAGTTCAACTAAAGAAAATAGATATTCTAGTTTGGGGTTTTCTACCCTGTAAAGAGACGTGGCTTGAATTGTGAATGCTGTGTAACTGTGCACGCCTGTAGGACTTTGCCAATGAGCTGGATGGCATGCCATCCATCACCATGGAGAACAATGCTATTCACAACAACGAAGGCTTCGGGGTGATTCTGGTGAAACCAGGAAATGGAGAACCTCTTCAGGTTACTGCTGACAGAACTGAAGGTGAGCATCACTTTTATTGTGTTCAGTGTCAGCGGGACAAGTATTTAACACTACTTTTGTTTGCAGAAGATACTACTGCAGATATGGCTAAGGACAAGCAGCAGGAGGGTGATGCAGATCCACACTCCACCACATCATCATCATCATCAGACACACCTACCAGCAGCAGCGCCACACCTGTTCAGATGGGGTCGGCTGAAAGCAACAGCACAGATGGAGACGTGGCCTCCGTCACAGGCAGGAAGTGGCAGCTCAGCCGTCAAATGAGCCGAAACAAGGAGGCGTCCTGCAGCCGACCGGTCCAGGACCTGATGGAGCACCAGATCTTCATTTCTGTTCAGGAGAACCAGTTCAAACGAAACGGCAGGGGGGACTTTGGTACTTTCTTCTTCTGACTGAACGTCACCGCGAGCAGTAATTCTTATTGACCGCCTGCTGGGTCCTGTCATTTTGTGGTTAGAAGACAGGAAGTGCTCATCAGTTGTATATCAGCGCTCTGACCTTTATAAACTTTCACTGATTGAAAACGCATTCTACTTTTGACTTTGCATAAGAGTTTATGTAATTTATTCATTTGAGCTTTTAATAGTTTTGATTAAATCCGCACTTTGTAGTTACTTTTGGTGGTTTGATCTTTAGATCTTGTAAATAACCTTTTGAGTTTGACTTGTTGGATGCAACGCAGTGTTGGTAGTTACGGTGTTCCCAGACGTTTTTAAAGATCGAGGGATTTTTAAAGGTGGGGAGTGTTCAGTATTCAAGTTAGAAATAAAGGTTTTAGAATTCGAGGCAACTAATTATAAATGAGTGTTTTTTTGCTTCATGCGGCTACTTGTGGAAAGTGTAGTTATACACCTGCAGATTAAAAGGTGTTTATTTTTCCAAACTAAATGTTGTCAGACTACACAGTGGTGTTCAGAAGTGAACGTTGACTTGGGGCTTTTAACAAGTTACTTCAACCATTCTTCCAGGGTGGAATGACGACACAACTTAAGTCTTTTGGAAACGAGCGTTGGCTGCACAAGTTTGTATTATGGATTTTCACTAATCCACGTTAATGATTTCCATACATGCTTGTGTGTGTACATACCTAACATACCTACCTAACAGAGTGGACATCCTTTAGCAAGTTGGAGCCGTAGCATCTTTTGGTCAACCCCCTCATAGTTCACGACTGAAACTGGTTCCACTGTAGACCGATGCTGGTCTTCCAGCAGTTTGCAGTTCTAGGCGACTTGAGCCTCGAAGGTTCTTGAGTTCTTCCTGAACATTCGAACTAGATTTATCTGAGGGTGGTTGAGTCTTCTTCCAGATCTTGTGACACAGCTGGAAAAAAAAAACTTATCTAGTTTTTGGAATTGTTGATTTATAAATGGCTTCTGGCAAAGAGAAACTAGCAGCAGCAGTCCATTCAGTCCACTTGTTTTCATTTCTAGTTTGATAAACCAGCATGTTAAAAGCCATGTTGTCAGCAGGGTGTGATAAACAGGATTCATTAAGTTGGAGCACCACCAGTAACGGCTGCAACATGAAGTCATCTGGATGGTTTGAAACGCCAGGAAATTGATCAGAGATGACATCGTTGTGAAGAAATTTTGCCCCCCTCTTCTTTCCAATGTTGAGGTCCCACCATAGCAGTTCAGTCAATGCGATTGTTTAGCAGCACCTGCTGCTTGCTCTTTCAATTAAGTGCATTTGCATTATTGCAAGCTTATATGGTGTCAGTTTTATCTCCGAAGTTGTTTTTCTATCCTTTTAAAGCCTCAGAAACATCTTTGTTTTATATATGCACTGATGTAAAACGTCTTAAAATATTCAGTACAATCTAGATTTTTTTTTAATGACTGATGCCAAACTATATTTGCAGCACGTCAGTGTTTACAACCCAATAACTGGACGGGACTTTGTCTCACAAAGTGTCAGGGGTTGAGAGGCGGTACTCCTCAGTCTCGTCCTTATACACAACCTGGGGGAGCCTGTGGTCTGTTGAAAACCTCAGCTGTTTAGAACAAGCTTGGAAACAAGGCCCAGCAACCATGTTTGCTGTAAAACTTCCTAAAAGAAAAAATATATATACATATACACATATTGTATTTCAATACAAACAAAAATGCAGTTCAATCTTTGTGGATTACACAAACTCTCAGATATACAGCATGTCTCTGTATAACCAGTGTGTTCATATGTTAACAGCTAACACTGTTAACTACAGCTGAGTGTACACACAGGTATGACCAGTTTATGAGTGCAACAATTCATTCCACATAAGGCAAAGTACTGCGTATGATTTGAAGCAAAGCAGTGGGAATGTACCGTCTGTGTACAGGTCAATATGAAAATATTGCTTCATCTGACAAGTAAAAAATATTCTCAGCTGACTTGCTAACCAGCAGGTTGAGCTCCAAAGTAAAGTCACTGGAACCTCTGATGGCATGAGTTCAGGAGTAGACCCAAAGTGTTGAAACTTGTTTAGAGTTGTGGGTCGTCTCACTGGTCATCAGAGTCCTGGTTACTGCTCAGGTGGCTCCTCTGCACCTCCAGCTCCTCTGCACTCACCATGGAGGGGTCGATTGCAGCATATCTGGTCCCGTGGAACTGACGCAGATGAATCTGAGAAACAATCACATTCATTAACACAAACATTGATGATTTAAAAAAAGAGCCATACTTGAAGTGCACATGCTCTTGTAGCAGGTTGGGCAAAAAAAACAACACATGCTGCTGAAATGCTTCACTAGCACCTAAAGGCTAACATCTTTAGCCTTAGCTGAAGCTGAGAAATAATTTTCTGTACGTGTACGCTTTGCTTATTGCCAGCACAGGTTAGAGAATCTGCATGTTCTACCAATGTGTGCAACAAACTTGTTTTGCTTTCAGAAATAAATTAAATAACTTGTACATAAGTGCTAACCACATTTTTATCACTCTAAAAAATGCACAGTCAAGTATGTTGGGGAAGAAATCTTCTGCTCTGGGTTGCCAGATAAATGTAAAATGTTTTATTTACTTATTTTCTGTGCACATGTTCAACAAACACAACACACCTCATCTTAGAATATCTTTACTCAGCACATATGACAGTTCAGTTAAAATACTGTCATTTTAAAGCAACAGTACTATAGTTCATAATTTCTTATCTGGCAACCGACTGACATGGAAATTACAGTGTTTTTTGAGTAAACTCTTTTTTTGTTTATTACAAAAAACACTAATGTTTCCAGAGGTTGTTCTCATGTAAACAGGGTAGATCCCTTTGACTTGGTCATTTTAAAAATAGCTCGCATGCTGAAAAAGTGTGGGCACCCCTGATTTAGACTGTTATTTGAGGAATAAAAGTTTTGGGACAAAAACGTACTATAGTAGTAGTTTATTTGTTTTAGTTAAGCTTCTTAAAAACCTAGAAATCAGTTTTTACAGCATTTCTCCCCCAGCCTGAACTGCAACTCGCTGTTAAAGATGCTGTGGCCAAGAACCCAGAACATTTGTGTATTTTGACACTTCACAGTTTCTCTCCTGCAGATAAACATGTTTGTATACGACTGAAGTTCATGTTCTGAATCACGAAAGGCAGCATCTCTGCTGGTTCTACATTCAAGCGAATACCAGCTGCAGCTGGACAGCATTGTATATGAAAACTTACTGAGCTAAGACGACACAAACAGAACCAGGACATACCTGGTTCAGGTTTGGTTTATTTGTCATATGCAACTCAACACAAGGTCAACAATGTAATGTAATGCTCTACCTGTATGTAGAGGTTGACCTCAGCACTCCTGCACAGGTACGGGAAGTTGCCTCCAGTTTTCAGATGAGCTCTTCTGGCATTAGGATACAGTTTGTACATCTCCTCTTTGGCCTCCAGGGACAGAGCGCTCTGATCAAACACCTAAACATCAAGTGGAAACATCCCTCAGGTGAGTACAGTGTGAACAGAGATGAGTGAAATGAGTACAAGTTGATGGGAAAGCACTTACATCAATGATGGTCACAGAAACATCTTTTATTTTGTGTGGCTCCACGTACGAGTTCTGACAGTTGAGCGTTAGTCGTGAAGCAAGCTCGCTTTGGCTTAAAGTCTCCAGCTGCAGATGGACAACAGGCACATAAAATACTACACTGATAATACAGTTTAGAAAATGTATTCTTTAAAAATGGTGCTGTGTAAACCTGTGGTCCTTAACTCTGGTCCCTCATGGACCACTGTCCTCATGTTTTAGCCGTTTCCCTGCTTCAACACACAATTGATTCAAATAATCGAATGACCTTCTCAGAATGTCATCAAGTTTAGCAGAAGCCGGTCAACGACATTCACTTCAGTCAGGAGTGAAGAAGCTGGAAAACACCAGGACAGTGGGCCACAAGGACCAGGGTTGGAGACCTCTGGCCTAAATAAAGAACCTTCAGTTCTTAAGTCTGGTGATTCTGATCAGATACTTTAAAAAAAATCACTGTGATATTTTTCATATCCATAAATATTTAAAAATCAAGGCACTCGATCAGTTTTATGGATAGCACAAAAATGTGGGCTTTGCCTAAGAAAGTCAACAACATCAGCTTCCGATGGTTGTGTAGTTGGAGAGGTAATTTTTTAGACCTAAAGTCCACTGTATCGGTACATTTAAAAAAATAAAATTAAATAAAAGCTTTTTAACAGGTTATCAGTTTACCCAAGTCAATTTGATTAACCTTGAAACCAAAAACAAAAGAAAAAAAATACAAAAGAAAAATGGGCATTCAACAAGGTTTTGTATTAGGAGCACTATTTTTTAATTAATGAACAAAAGGGAAATTGTGAAGTTGTTCTGCACATCTCAGTCTGCTTTAAAACCTGCAAGGTTGTTCAAACAAGCTTTGCATATTTTAGAGAAAAAAAAAAGTGGTACCACTTTTAAATGATAGAATAAGTACCATATTTAAATCTTTGGAAGTTTTATACACATTTCTTTGGTATTATTTTTAGAGTATGCTAATGGTCTTGTTCCAGATGTTGTGAGTGAAATGAGTTTAAAGCCAGCAGGAGAGGAGCTCCAACAAGGTACAACAGTTAATGGAGACTAAACCATTGAGGTACAAAACATCATTTGGACAGTCTTCCTTTTTCTTTAGAGGTCCTTGGATGTAGAAGTTTTCTAACAAGAGTAAAACTGAAATGATTGTTTTTTTGTTGTTGTTGCTTTTTTAAAACAACAAAAGCAGAAACAAAACTCATCTAGGAACACTAACATACCAGCTGTGGTCTTCAGTAGAAACTTACCATTATTTCACTTCCTCTATGTATTTTTGTTTTGGTTTTTATCCCGTGCTCTATAGTTTGTGTGTGTATAATGAACAGAAATGAATATTTATTCTAGATGTGTGGCACGGTACTTGATGTCAAGTGTCAGATGTTTTATGCTCTGCTTTTTGGGGCTGCAGATAACTTTCGTTAGGAATATGTCAAAAACAAAGTTTAAATGAACAAATCTAGGGAGAAAAGGACATTTTATTGGTGCCACTTTGAATAGGGGGAGTGGTGGCGCAGAGGTTAGAGAAGGTGGGCCTGTGATCGGAAGATCGCCGGTTCAAGCCGTGGTACCGACATCAAAAATGTGGATGGGGTAGGTGAAGCACCCACACGTGCCCCCACCCTCATTCGTCCCACTCTGGGCCCTTGAGCAAGGCCCTTAACCCCCACCATCTGCTCCTCCGGGCGTCCTAGATACATTTTTATTAGCACCCCCACTTGCAACAAAACTAGTACGGTACTTAAAATGCTCCAGCAGTGTTATTGTCATAAGGTGTGCAACAATACAGAATCACTGTTGCAGACCTCTCCACACATTCTGTATCAGGGAGTGGGGACAGGATGGGACTACAGACAGGTCAGTGTAGAACAGGGGTCTGCAACCTTTACGATCAAAAGAGCCATTTTAACGCGTTTGTTCACTAAATTAAACATGTCCAGAGCTGCAACAACCTGCTACAACTTTGATTATCACGTGGAGGTCCATGGGCTGCTGTAGGTTTTTTTTTTTTTTTGGGGGGGGGGGGGGGGGGGGAAGTAGGGGCCACATATTATAAAGCTAAAAATATCTAATTATTTTGAATATTTACTGATATTTTTAAAATTTAAAACAAAAACAAAAGAAATTCCAGATTCTTGTAAAGAAGGGAAAAAAATAAACAAATTATAAATAAAATAAACAAACAAACAAACAAAAAAGAACTATGCAGACCTGTGATTTTTTTTTAATTGTGGAAAAAAAAAAAGAAATAAAGCATAAAGTTAAAGTGAGTATGTTTACGTCTTGTATTAGTTCTAGTATTCACATATTTGCAAAATAAAAAAATATAAAAAAACCTGAAATATGAAAACTGCTGATAATAGCATTTTTGTTGTTGGTATAACAACCAATAAAGTTCTGATGCAGGCTCAATAATCCAGGTAGAAAAATCTTACAAGGTTAATTCAGGTAATCTGGTTCGGAGAAAACTAACAAAAATCTGGAATACCAATTTGTCTAACCACAAGCTACAGTTTGTGATCAGCAGAGGAGTCAAATTAACCTCTGGCCAATGTTAAAGCATGGCTCCTTTATGCTAAAAACAGACTGAAGTGACATTTGGGAGTCTAATTCTGTATTGTAGAACTTGACAAAGGTTTCCTAACATAACCCTTTCTTCATGTTCTTTCATTAGCTAATAATGAATGACGGATTGATCCAGATTCAGCTTTTCATGGCTCATAATCATCTGTGTCATCATGTGTTTTTGCTGCTTTGAAACTTTTCCTGTTTCAACATTGCTCCATTTCCTCATCATAACATGCCATTGCACCAACATTTCTTTATTCTTACGATAAGTTCAGTTTTTTCTAGAGCTCTTAGGAAGTCACTGTTGCTTTTTATTAGTAAACAATTTAAAGAGCACGTGTTCCATCTAAGAAGAACCTCAGTGGAGAAAAACCAGAGACATTGACACGTGAAGACGGATTTAACAGCATTTTGAAGTTTGTTCTGAGGAAACATCAACAATTAATACCTTACCTACCGAGGATCACTCTGAATGATGTAGGTTTGAAAAAGTAAAGTTTATTTCTAACCAGAATGACAAACAGCGAGTCCAAATGTAGTCAAGGCCAAAGTGAATGTTGTTTTAAAACAGCTTCGATTGAACAAAAATCTAAATGGTTCATGCAAACACATATTTATTAACCTTTACAGTCGGTTTGTCAGTAGATGGTTATCTGTTGATTATTGCAAGCTCAAACAGCAGCAGCACTTGCAGCCCGAGTCATTTCCAGCAGAGATTTCATTATAACTTTGCCTAAATAACTGTGTAGTTCAAAGCTAATGGCAATGCAGGTGAATAAATAATGGTGTTTCCATGAACATCTGTGTAGTTTTTAAGATTTTAATTGTTTGATAGTGACAAAAATCCATTTTGGAAGTGGGAGTGCTTTGACACGCCATTATTACTGTATTTTTTGCTGTATAAGTCAAGGTTTTTGCATAATTTGCATGCCTTGTGACTTATAGGCCGAAGCAACATATTTATGGATTTCTTCCCATATTTATAAACCAATTTTTGGCTGAGATAAGACTGTTTTCATTAATTCTGACTGAAAATATTGAACACTACTATTTTCAGCCGCTGGATGGCAGCCAAGCAGTATGGCAAGCCGTTGTATCATGTAATACGTAAAAGTGCTATTAATGACACAATCGGCTTGCCACAGATGCCACCGTCTGCCTGGAGCAACCGTCAAATCAGCTTCATTTCGTTGCGCCGCCCCGGCGAAATGAAGCTGATTTGACCATTAAAGTGCATTTATTAAATAAAAGTTAGACTGAGACACACCTTTACCATAAAGTCGAGCAAACAAATAATTGTTTTTAGGTGGTTATCTTGTTACATTTCGAAGAAATGCACAGCGAGTCGCCCTCCGTGCGTTCATGCTTCCGCATATCGGCTTTTGAAAATGCAGCTGATTTGACTGTCAAAGTGCATTTATTAAAGAAAAGTTAAACTGAGACACACATTTACTTTCATTTCAAGCAAATGAATAATTGTTTTTAAGTGTTAATCTTGTTAAATTCTTGTTAAAGTCCTCCCATTTTTGGCACAACACCGGCCCACATTTCCAGGTTCGGTTCACATTTCCAGGTTGTCAGCGGTGATGCGTAACAAACACGACGCGTCAGCGGTAACGCATAATAGATGCGACGTATACGGCGAAGCGACACATTTATGGATTTTTCCACTTTATTAGACATATTTGGGCTGATGTGACTTATAAGGCGGTGTGACGTGTACAGTGGAAAATATGGTAGCTTGTGAGTACAGTTCAAGCTGCTCTGGAACCACTACTTCTGCTGCTGCTGTGGATATTTGCAAATGAACACAAAATTTAATGTAAATATTTGTAATGTAAAATTAACATTTGAGCAAGATTTAACAAAATGCCCTTTGCATGAAGTATCCGTAACAGGTAAGATATTAATTGTCCTTATTCTATTATTCTATTCACAGAACCCACTTAAAAATGGCAAAATTATCACTTTATGTTTATAAAAACAAACAGTTACATGTCAGTACCGGTAATATCCATGAGTCTACTTACCCTATCTACCATAAAGTCAATAGCATCTGCCATTTTAGGGTCCACAGGTCCTTTAGCAAAGTTCCCCAGTACAATCTTCTTGAGTAGGAAGGCTGGCATCATCCAGAAACTGTGGAGCACCAGAAAAACATCATGAACACTGAAATCAAAGCTTTTAGAGGGGACAGCTTGAGGTGTCCAATAAAAGCACCTGTTAGCTGTCCATGTCTGGTTAAAGATGGACGTGTCACTGAATGAATTACACAAGATCAAAGAGTGAACTCTGGGGGATTTGTGTGTGTACTCTGCAAACTTCTGAGCCAAGAATCCACCCAGAGATGCTCCAAACAGGTGGACCTAAGGACGACACCGGATCACATATCACAGAACCAGCTTACACAGAGGCAAGTCCTCTTTAAGGCAACTGAAGACAAAGTCTAACCTTATCCAGCTGAAGGTGATCCAGGAGTTTTCGAAAACCATCACAGAACTCCAGGAGATCCCAGTAGATGGGATATTGCAACTGGGAAAAGAACAACATCGTTAAACAGGATAGCAACGCTTCCAACAAATGAAGCAAAACTGAACAAGTTTTTTTTTTCCTGGTAATTTAGAAATCTTAATATGATCAGTAACTGATATTGAAACTTATGCAGTGTAAAAATGAACAAACATTTTAAATGTGGATTAAACCAGTCACATTTAAAGAACATTTAATGTGCAGTCTGAAAGCCATGGCTGCGGTTTGTTAGCTCCAACTTTTGATACATTTTGTATTATTGCATTGCAAAAAATTCAGTTTGGTTTTTAACCATTTTTTGGAGTTGTAGTGAATAATGTCCACATGCTTTGTGATGACTTGTGTCTATTTATAATTTGCTTAAAGTTGTGGAATGCATGAAGTTCATGGTCAGATGCAAGATGGAACGCGTGAAATGGTTTCTACAGTTTTGAGCTCACCGAGATGACTCTGTAGCCCCAGCCGGTCAGAGCCAGAACCTGCTGGAAGAACACCTCAGCTGTCCCACTGACTGGGGGAAGGAAGATGATGGGACACCTGATGCTCTTTGGGCCAGCATCGTACAAAGACCACACCTTACTGTCATCATCATCAACAATAATCTGAAATGACCAAAACAAAAGGAATGTTCTGATGATCTCTGCTCTCATGGTAAAAATATTTTTTAACAAATAATACTTTTGATTAGGCCTGTCACGATAACAAATTTTGCTGGGCGATTAATTGTCTCGGAAATTATTGCGATAAACGATAATATTGTTTGAAATTTGACAATAATTAGTAATTATTGCCAAATTGAAGAAGAAATGTTGGTAATTTTTTGTGTATAGTACCTTTTTTGAGCACTGGATGGCAGTAAGACTGAACCAAAGGATGGATAGTGAGGGAGCAAGCAGCGTGTCTCTAAGAAAACTGGGAGGGAGGCCCCTTGACGTGACATGGGCTGTCTCTCTTTGGTTCTCAAAATGGCGGACGCTTGGTGTGGGTTGAGCTCTTTAGCATAGCATTTTTCACACAAAGCTTTTAATAAAAAAACAGTAAACAAGTGCTCAGCTTCTTTTTGCAGAGTAAAAAACAACTTTTTACACAAAGGCACAGGTTTCAATCGTGAATTTTGGAGCTTCGACAAGACGGAGGTTTTCTCCCCAATGTTGGCCTGTTAGCTTAGCTCATAGCTCAGCTTCTCAGCTTAGCTGCTTTTAATGATCCAAAAACGCAAATTTGGACGGTTAAAATGGATTTTAAAGGGAGGGGTCAGTGAAGAGCATCAGAGTTGAGCCTTTTGTCATCCAGTGTCTTCAGTAGAAAGAGAGAGAGACACTAAGAAACAATAAAGCCGATAAATGAAAATGAGGTTGATAATTTTAATTTATCATGTGATTAAGTGATTTATTGTTTACTGTGACAGGCCTACTTTTGATCCTAGAGTTTGACATTTCAAAAAACAAAATCCTGATTTCTGAAATTATGCTCTTAGGACAGATTAAAGTGTTGATTATATCACCAACTAATCAGCACGGTTGTGGAGGAGTGAATGTTTGGGCTCTTTGCACACACAGGACCTGACCACCCTGCAGTCACCGAGTTGACTGAACTCCTTTGTTTATCGAATTATTCTAAAGTCAAATATGAGGCCATGTGTCCACAGGAGCAAGAGAACAATGATCCCAAACTCAACAGCCAACCTACAACAGAATGGCAAACAGCAAAAGGAGGTGCTGCAGAAAGATGAAACACAACCCGACTGATGCTGATGCTGCGGTGGACCTCGTAAAAGCTGCACATCAACACTGATGCAAATCACAACGAGCCGAGAAACACTGTGACAAAGAGTGAGCCAAACTTTAATAATCAAACAGTAAAAATCAATACACTGCATTTACCCAAATCCAAAGTTTTTAGTTATTTTACAAATATCCTGCAATGTAAAACCTTATGATTAAAGAAGATATTTTTAAAAACACAACTGTATCTATAAACTGATTTTCAGCTGCAATGTGAAAATGAGCAATGATTAAAAAAACATGGGTGCTGCCAGCTCAGATGGAAGTAATCTCACCATTTGCCTCCATTTTAGAGATCAACTGGTCAACATGCATGAATACATTTTTTATAGATTTGCCACGAACGTGTATGTAAAGTACACGCACACTCTAAAACTTCAGCTGGTGCAGGAAATGTCTGCCTTAACAACAATGGCTACAACTAGCTTCTGACGAATCAAGGATCCTGAAGCTCTCCATGATACAAGTCTTACACTGGTACCAGTAATGGTGTGTTAATGGCTACATCTTCACCCACTAAGGAAGGTGATGGGAACCTGCTGTCAGAAAAACAGAACACAATAGAAATCTTTCACATTTGCACTAAATATTGAATACATTGAAGCACAAATGAAATGTGCTATAAATTATTTTTAAATAGTGCACATGTATTAAGAAATTGTTAGGACACTTTCAAGCGGGTTCCTGCAGAAACTTGTAAACATTTATTCTTAATTATTGCAGACATTTTTAGAAGTGTTTGGAGAAACAGTTTAATTCTGGCAGAAATGAGGAGCCAAGTGAGTCTTAATCATCAGTGAACATTAATAACAGCCACAGGAGTGACTCTGTCAGGAATTTGATTTATTCATTCATTTATTTAAAAGAAACAAAACAAATTCATTTAAAAAGAAAAAAAAAATATTGAATGAAAAGGGTGCAGAAAGAAGAAACAAATTCTTATATGTCAATGTATTTATATAGCACATAAAAACAACAAAAGCTGACCATATCTGCCCCTTATTTAAAAAAAATATAAAATAACTAGAAAAAAATATTAAATATGGAACAATCATTACATTATACAATATATACTAAGCTTTGTCATTCAAAAACTATTTTACTTTATACAGTAATGCAATTGATTTTGCTATTTTTATTCTTAAGTAATTCACATGAGATTTCCATGTGAGTGTCTCATCAATAACGACACCAAACATTTTTATTTCATTAACTGTATGAATTTCAATACTGTCAATTTTAAATGGGACTTCAATAATTTTATTTATATTACTAAATATCATGTAGTTTGTTTTTTTTCAAAATTTAATAACTTAAGTTGGAACCAAGTTTGTATTTTTACAAATTCTGCCTGTATCATCTCTAACATCTGTTCAATATCTTCACCTGATCAAAAAAATGTGGTATCATCTGCAAATAAAGCACACTTCAAAAGCCCTGACACATCAACCAGATCATTCACATACAAAATAAACAACTTGGTCCCAACACAGAGCCTTGAGGGACTCCACATCCATTAACACAAAATTCAGATCGTTTATCTGTACAAACTGTCTCCTATTATTCAAATAACTGGATACCCACTGTAGTGCTAATCCTCTAATGCCA